TTTGTTTACATTCATAGTAGGCTCAGAACTCAACCGATTCTCACCAACTCCATCCTTCCTTTCTTACACTTCATTTTCAAAGATGCAACCAGGAAAATCCTCCTTAAAGATAAATCAGGTGACAGCACAACTCTGCTCAACACCTCAATGGTTATCTTACTCCAGAAAAACTCAGGATCCTCCCATGGCCTCAAAGGTGGCCCATATGCTGCCTCCCCTGACCTACCCTCCACAGAGGGGCTTCTGTCCGATTCTGGATTTGAGTTGATTCCAAGCCAGGATGGGTGTCACCGAGGACTCTGTCAGAGCAGCAGGCCCCCCTGGAGCAACACCATCTTCCCATAATTTAAGTTTCTCCATGAAATTTGATATGCTGCAATTGTGCTATTATATTTGCTTATGTTGCTATCTTTTCCCAGAAGTCTTAAGCTTTATGGATAAATTTGTCTCCTTTGTTCACTTTTATATTCCCAGTACTGAAAATAATGCTTCTCACAAAGTACATACTAAATATATTAATGATGAGGGGTAGATGGATGGGTGCAGATGGATGGTGGGTGGATGATGGATGGGTGGATGGATGGTGGATGAATAGTGGTTGGATAGATGGGTGGGTGGATGGTAGGTGGGTAGATAGATGAATGATGCAGGGTAGATGAATGATGAGGGGTAGATGGATGGGTACAGAGATGGTTGGTGGGTGGGTGGATGATGTGAGTGGGTGGTAGGTGGATAGTGGGTAGATGAATGGTAGGTGGGTGGATGGTGGATGGGTAGATGGATGGTAGGTGAATAGTGGATGGATGGATGGGTGGGTAGAAGGTGGGTGGACAGATAGATGAATGATGGGTGGGTAGATGAATGATGAGGGGTAGATGGATGAGTGCAGAGATGGCTAGTGGGTGGCTGAGTGGGTGAATGGATGGTAGGTGGCGGGGCAGAGTGTGGGTGGGTAGATGCTGGGTGTATGGATGCATGGATAGGTGAGTGGGTAGGTGAATGATGGGTGGGTAGGTGAATTATGGGCGGTAGATGGATGAGTACAGAGATGGATGGTGGGTGGCTGATGGTGGATTGATGGTGGGTGGGTGGGTGGATGAGGAAAATGCCACATGCCAGCTCTAGATCAGTGGTTCAGGACTATAAAATGTACCTTGATTCCTAGGGCCACCAGTGACTGGTTTCCCTGGTTTTCTCGTCTCTGAACTTCTTCTCTGTCTCCCTACTTCCTATTATTTAAGAAGAGGAAATTCTGAAAAGCTCAGGGCAGTGTTTTCTTGTCTGCACCTTGCTGCTATTTCAGTAGCAAAATTGCTTAAACATGGATCTTCATCATTTTAGGAGGAGCCTTCCATCAGAAGTGGGCCTGTGAAGGTGAGCAAGACCCAGCAGCACACGGTGAGGGAGGGTGAAACAGGTGGACAACAGCCATGCCTTCCCACCTGGGTGCAGCACCAGCTGCAGGAGGCCACACAGGCACCCTTGTGTCTCCCTACACACCATCTTCTGGCACGAGGTGTGACATTTGATATTAGAGCCCATTGATGAAATCAGTGCTTACATTGTCTTCAATTTGTTTTTTATGTTGTTCTTATTTTCTAACAGGCATTTCTCTTTCCCGAATCTCCTCAGCAGAATAGCCAAGTTTTCATGGCCTCTTCCAAAGTGCAACCCTAGAGCATTTTGCAGATTGCTGGGCTGTGGGGACAGAAAGCTGAACTGTTTCCCTAAAAACTGAAAGCCCCACCCCCAGAGCCCTGACTTAATCCCAGCAACCCCTATCCCATCTGACCCTCTGACCCTGTGCCTGCAGGGACCACCAGTGGGTGTTTACCTCCTCTGCTGGAAGGCAGCTCTATTCAGGCAGGCTCTGAGGCAGGGCTGGCTCAGCCTGCAGCTGCACTGGCTTAGAGAATTGCCCACAGTGGGACACTCGGTCATCCATGACCCCCAGGTGACCCCTAAGCACTGAGGAGGCAGTCTGGGGTTCTATCTATGGCCTCTGCTTCCTCCTGTGTGAAGGCAGGTAGCCTGAGTAGAGGGCAAGGCATTGCTGGTCTGGTGGCCTTCAAGGCTGTGCAGGGACCTGGAAGGCTGCAGGCCTGCTGGAGGGAGCATGTGTGTCTTCAGAGTACCGCCTCTGGCCTGCCCTGTGGTGAGGCAGATCTGGTAAAGGGGCTGCTGGACTAGCTGCCTGACCACTGCTTTCCTCCCCCACTGCAGCCTGTGAGGTCCCCACGGTGGCCCCAGGACCACAGGCCTGCCTGATCCCTCACCAGGGCACAGTGCGGGAGACCTGGCTCATTGGTGGCTCAAACAGATTCCTATTTATCTTTATGTTCTCTTATGTTTATCTTTATGTTCTCATTCATAAATGTACCCATCATTTACACTGCTTAGACCTCAGTTTTAACCAGCTATCAGTTTGAATCTCCGCTTTCTTTTCTTTCCCTCCTATCTTCTCCATTTTTTAAATAAAATGAAATTGCACTTACAGTTTTGTACTTTGGTTTTTAAATTCAGCAAAATATAACATCTTTTCAAACTAGAAATTACTCTTCATCTTTAACAGATCAGCTTTACTGTGGCCATCCTGTGTGAGGACTGTGCCAGGACACCTGGCAGCTCTAGCACCTCTGATCTGAGACTGATCACTGGTCGGCTACAGCTGTCAGCTAATTGTCAGCAGAAACAGGGTTTATGTTTGAACTGTTCAAACTAAAGCCAGTAGTTTCCAAAGTGAGGCAGGTTATTTTGAAATTTATTGTTACATACAAATGGGTAACAAATATCTCTGGCACTAAAGTGGGTAATCTGTGCAATTCCTAGAGAGCCTGGCATCTTTCAGAGTTCTCGTAAGTTCTTCAAGCACTGAACACAAAATCAAACAAGCTTTCTTGAGATTGCAGAGAAAACTTTAAAACTTTAAAAGCATGGGTTCACATACTGATTCTACTAGTAGGATTTACCCCCAGGATTTATTCCTTCCTCTCAGTGTCTAAAACCACTGCAAGGGCTTGTTTTTTCCTCTTTCAGAAACCTATTGTGCTTTCCCTCCACCAGGAGAGCTTCATTCAGTTTGCTTTGAATAAAAAGGTGCTCCAAAAGTACCTGTGGACCAATGACCCGAGTCACCCCTGGGTATCTCCATTTGATCAGTGACAGAGGAAAACTCTCGAGGAGCAGTCACCCGTTCTGAAGCCTGGAAGGCCATCCTCTGTGGCCCAGGGAGGTCTCAGAGCCTTCTAGCCAGGTTTGGGACCAGCGGGCTGTAAGCCTCCTCCTTCAGGGAGGACAGTCTGCCTCATCCCAGGTCAAGTAAGAGAAGCTCCGAGCAGAGCCCAGCAGGACTGCAGGCTTAGTGCAATCTGGTTGCAGGGAGGTATTCTGAACTTCATGTTGAGGGGAAGCAGACCTTTCCTCGGCCAGTGAGCTGCTCAGCGCCACACACAGGCAGCAAACTGTGGAGCAAAGGAAAGAGCTTCCTAGTTCAGCCTGACTTGTCCCTAGGGCCCACACAAGCTCACTTGGAAAAACTGCCTCAGCCATCCTATCAGTTAGGGCTCTTTCTGATGCAAAGAAAGGTAGTACTTGCTAATTTATTGGTCTCATATGCTCAGCAGTATTCAAGGTGCTTTGGTCGGTCACCAAAGGTGGGGAAACCAAGGCACGGAGCAGCTAGGTCACAGTTGTGAAGGCAGCTCCTGCTTGCAATCTTCACCCCCATGCTGTGCACTCTGCACAGGACAGGTATTTACTGACTGCCATACCCCAGGCTCTGCATGGGGCAGATATTTACTGCACCACTCAAGAAGCCTGGGTCCTGCCCAGAAGCAGAAGGCTCCCCTTTCTGAGTGTTAGAGGGCTGGCTAACAATCCTTGCCCAGAAGAAAAGTTAACAAGAGAAGCATAACAAATTGATTCAATTGTTCTACACAGGAGTCCTCAGAATGAAGACTCAAAGACCCACCAAAAACCCATTTCATGCTTAGGTTCAGTGAAGAGTGGACAACCGTGCAAAGGCGACTGCACCCAAGGTTGCTCTCTGATAGTGGGAGCTGAGGGAACAGCCAGCCCATCTCTTCAGGTTCTGTTTGGCTTCTGATGCAGCAGGAATGGGGACTCGTGATCTATCACTTTCTGATATAAAAAAAACTTCTTTATGGCCAGTTCCAAGATAGAAAGTCAGAGAACAGGTAAAGATTAGAGTAACACTTTGAGGCTTAATGGCTGGATTTGGAGGAAAATGGTTTTAGTTTCTATGACCTGCCTCAGGGAAGAAATTCTAGTCTCTGTGCCTGGGGAGAGTGGGAAGCAGGAGGATGGGAGTCAGCAGAGTGCTTCTGAGGCCTTCATCTGGGCTGTTGCTTTCTGAGCCCCAACACCACCCATGATCCTCATAATTCCTGGGAATGACCACAGTCATCCCCCATTGCAACCAGCTTCCTGCAAAAAAGACGTCAGTGGGGATTTACAGTTGACAACTTTGCACCTGGTATACCAGACCGCTCCATCTTTCCAGTGCTTGTGAGAAGCAGCCTTTCCAAGTGGGCAGCCTCTCTCCCTTGGGGCCAGCATCGTGTCTGGGGCAAACATGGGTGAGCGAGCAAGTGGCCCAGGTGTCCACAGGAAAGAACAGGTGCCTCTGCTTTGGCCACGCAGCCCCGAGGGGGGCTGCTGCTCTTCATTTTCACCAGCTCGTTTAACCCTCCAAACTGCAGTCAACCCTGATCACACTTTACCGAGGCTCAGAAGTTCATTGATTGACCCAGTGTTCACGTGACTTGAGCACTGCTACCAGTCCACATGCAGCACCAAGTGCTCCAGGAAGTCACCAACCGCTCTGAGGCAGTTTTGCTAAAACTGTCTGGCTAGACTGGATGTTTGCTGATGTCTGACAGTGAATACAAAAGAACCATGACCACACAGACGGCAGAGTGTTCAATGTTCAGTGGTGCACACAATGAAATCAGCACAAAGAGTTTGAGGTCTCTCAGGTCAGCTGTTATTTTATAGAAAGAAATATCTTGCGTTTTGGATTAACATTTGTCAGGAAAGAAGTATTTTAAAACCCATATTGTACATTGCTTAACTGGACAGTAGACCCTGTCATTTACATGTATACATGTAATTGTAATTACACACACACATACACTCACACTCACACACACACACAGATACGTAATTGTAATTATCAAGGGAGAAAATAACAAAACTTTAATTCATGGTTACATAGTTGGCTGGAAAAATGCCAGTTTGGCCACGAAGATTTCCTTCCCACCAATCAAAATGTGAATCAGTTTTTGATGTAACTATGATTTTGTCTCCAGCTTGGAAATTCAAGTCTCCCGGCTGCTGTCCTTCAAAAGAATACAGCGCTGTCACTTCTACTGGCTGATTTGAACCGCCTGAAATAAGAAAAGGCATTCTGATCATTCTTGCTTTTGAGGGGGAAGTAGCATGTGCAGGTGGGACAGAAGATAATCACTTAAGGGTTAGGGTCTGTGGACTGGCACACAGTCTTCGGAAGGTGCGCACCATGAAACTTGAGTTTTTTTCCTTTGAAAAGAGCAAGTGTGTGGCAGTAACATTTCCCAAATTCACATACAAGTCACAACCACACACTGTTACATATATAATGAAATGTTTAGGAAATGTATACGGCTATAATTGTTTGAATTTTGACCCATAAAATAACATTATTCATACTTTGCCCATTTTAAAGGAATAGTCGTTGCCATGGTCTGAATGTTCCCCCAAATTCCTATGTTTAAGTCCTGCCCCACCAGGTGGTGATCATGAATGGGATTACTGCCTCATAACGGGCTCCTGCCAGCAACAAGGGCCTGGTGAGGAGTGTGCATGAGAGCTGGGGTGGAGCTGGCACCACACCTTGGTCTTGGATTCCCCTGAAGAACTGCAAGGAGAGAGACTGTCCAGGGTGGCCTTCTGGGGTGCTGTGACAGCCAGGGGGCCTGCTGGGAGGGTGCTCGCTGGGGTGCTCTGTGGCCACCCAGGGGGGCCTGCCGGGAGGGCAGTCCAGTGCCCATCAAGAGGCGAATGGATAAAGAGAATGTGGTGTATGTATACAATGGAGTTTGGTTCAGCCATAGAGAAGAATGACCTTGTGTTGGTTGTAGGGAGTAGAAGGACCTGGAGAGCAGCAAGCCAGACTCAGAATGCCAAGTGTCACATGTTTTCTCTCCTATGTGGAAGCTAGAAGGAAACGGGAGGAAAAGGTACCTCATGAGAACAGAAGGAGAGCAGGAGGGCCATGGAAGGGGCTGGGAGGGGGAGGGAGGAGAGGAGAGGTCCCGAGGGTGGCACTGATGAAGTCACTTCATGTTTGTGAGCAGATGCGTCACATGAAACCCAGGCCCACCAGGAAAGAGAGTCTGCGCACTGTGTCTGCATGATAACAATCTGGGTACCTGATTCCTTGACGCTGCATTGACAGGAAGTGGCTAATTCCTCACGGGCATTAGTTCTGTGGTATATGGCTTTGTCACCTTATTCACCTTAGTTATTATAGATTAATAGGGCTCTTTAGACCTCGGCGACCATTTGTGAGCCATTCACTTTTATAAGTAACTGCTTAATTCTTTCAAGGAAAATTTCTAAAGATTATTTTAAGTAAGTCAGGTTGAAGGGTTATTTTTTTTACTATGGAAAAGYTTAATAAGTTTTATTAAATAGTTCCCAATAACAGCAGAATATTTGAAAGGAAAAAAATTCTTAAAAATATAAAACTCATGGGGCCCAAACTTTCAGAGACTGCAATAGTGATTGTTGGAATGCAAAATTACCAAATGTGCACTCTTCTCACTAGGCACCCAAAGCCCTCTGTGGGCAGCAGCTGGCCCTGTGCAGGTGTGACTGCAGGTGGTGGGCAGTGGTCCTCAAGAGCTCAGTTACCCTCATCTTCTCAGAATAGAAGCCAGTGAGAGCACACAAGCACTATGTTTTACAAGAAGCACTTTTGAAATGAATATGGACATCCTATAAACCACAGGGGATGAAATATGCTCTCAAGATTTTCCCCAATCTACCAGACTGATTAGAAAGTTTGATTATAAGATGGATATGAGTCACTCTTTTAAAAATTATATACATATATGTATGTATGTATGATATATATATATATATATATATATATATATATATATATATATAGTTGTAGATGAACACAATATCTTTATTTTATTTATTTATTTTTATGTAGGGCTGAGGATCGAACCCAGGGCCTCACATGTGCTAGGCAAGCACTCTATCACTGAGCTACAATCTCAGCCCATGAGTCACTCTTAATAATTTTTTGTTACTTACCAACAGTCTCATGATAGCTGGAAAGCTCAGGATACAGTTTATATTCATTTCTGTTACCTGCAAAAAAGGGAGGAGGATTTAGAAAGGTAATTAGTGTGTACTGTATCATAAAGCACACAGAAAGGCCAAATCCTGCTCTTGTCCCTCAATCACCTTAAGACGCTATACACAGTAGGAAACCAATATTCAGTCGTGCTGTAAGTCAAAAGGTATACCTGAACAAACCCACCAGATACACCAAGTTCAGGAACCCAGTACCTATGACATAAAATATATCTGTTTCCAGAAGCAGCCATGAAAAAGCTAAGTGAACAAGACTGTCAGCCCAAGCCAGGGACTTCTGAACATCCCCTGGCTTACCCTAGCACTCACTTCAACCTTCAAATCATATTTCAACCTTGATGCCATTTGTCTCAAAATGTTATAGTAATGTGTTAAATTGTATTTTTATGTAGCATTTCCTACAACAGAAATCTGTATGTAAATTTACTTTTTAAATTTAAGTAAGCACAGCTTCTATTAAATAAATTCTTATAATAGATTGAGTTATCGTTATAATAGTTATTTATAGATGATTGATCAAAATTTAAGCATATTCTGAACTCTGTTAGCTTACTAAACATAAAAGTAAAATTGTATTAGAAAAGCACCTGTGTAGATGAATGAGGCTTTAGAATTCATTCATCTGCACAGGGCCACTTCTTCTCATTGTTGGAATGACATCGGCTCAACATCATTCATGGTTTAGTGCACTTTTCTATAGATACAGGTGCTCAGAGAGGTTCTTTTTGTTGGAAGATGGGCCTCACTATGTTGTCCTCCTGGGCTCTATGATCCTCTTGCCTCAGCCTCCCAGGTGCTTGGGACCACAGGTGCCACCCCCCCCCAATAGGAAATGTGGTTTTTATAAAAACTAGAGAAGACTAGAAGGAGAGAATTTATAGCAATGTAACTGAATTACTTTATAGCCCTTCTTAGAAGCCAAAAAATAATTTAAAAAGCTCACATTTATCATTCATCAAAACAACATATTTGTAAGATAATAAAACATTATATAACTTGTTTAGGTGATGAATAGCTATTTGATTTTTTAAAAAATAATTACTATATAATGAGACTATTAACTACTATTTTCATTATAAAAGTAGATAAATTTCAGTTAGGTTCTTCCTCAATTTTATTGAATATAAAGAAACAGAAATCACTCCGTGGAGGCTCTACTGTCCACCAGAACCATTCGCTCAGGACACTGGTATCACATCCATGTTTCAAATTGGCCTGCTTTTAGGGCTGCAGGCAATTTCACTTGGTGAGAATCAGCATGCTTGAGAGTTTGCTTTTCCTCTTCACATACAGAAAACAGGGCAGAAGATGCAGACGGAGCCTGTACACAATGCCCAGTGGCTGGCTTGGAGGAAGAATTCCAGGACCTGGAATCTGGAAACTGCCCTGAGAGATGCCTGAGCCCACAGGTCCTGGCTGGCATCTCTGTGAACCCTGAGGACGGGAGCACACCTTGGAGCTCAGGCAGTAAGACACAGTTGCAAATGCTGGTGGGCAGGACAGATACTCCAAGGGATGTGCTTTAAGAAACTGACTAGAAATAATTTGGGGTGAATGACCAAATTTCAGACCAGCAAAATGTGCGTCCCTTGTGATTTCCTGCACCCTGATCTGGAAATGGAAAAGTGTATTCCACTCACAGGAAGGGCACAGATCCAGGAAGGCCCACTGGGAGACACGGCACCACAGCAAGGCAGAAGGGACCCAGGTCTCCAGGTGATTAATTACAATACTGTGGCATGAACATGAGTTCATAGTATGATTTCAACTAGAACTGAAAGATGGCAGAGGAGGAAATGCTTGGTAAATGGTCTTAACATACAGGAAGAACAAGTATCCAGGAATCAGAAATAAAAATAGCACAAGGAATCCTGGAGAATGCAGTTGTTTATCGGACATAGGAAGACCTTTGTAACCATGATTAAAATACATAAATTCATAAAAACTAGATGGTTAGGCAAATTTTTACATAAAAATTAAAGCTCTMAATTAGTAAAACATGAAAAATAAAAGACACATAATAAATGTAAAAAAAACTACTGCAACCCAATGACAAAGCGTCGTGGCGGGTGTGTATGTGGTGGTGAATGAGTGGGGGAGAGCGAGGTAGGGGGAGAGAGCGGGAAGAATGCAGGTGGGCATTGTGTGGGGCGAGCACCCATATATCCTGGGGATGTTTGGGAAGGGGAATGTGTCTGGTAGAATGCTCATAGTGGAGCGTGTTTCAGGTGGACTGTGTGTGTGACAGGGAAGGTATATGATGTGGAATGAGCGTGATCAGGTGTGGTTGTGGTGGAGAATGCTAAGAACCCATGTGAGGGAGCTGGGCTGAAAACTGGAGAAAATAGATGTGAAACAGGACTGAGGAGTCAGAGAAGGAGCTTTCTACTCTCTGAAGAGCTTCAGTACATTTTCTAATCCTCTTCCCACAGTAAAAGTTACACACTCATATGCAATCTCTCCTTCTATACGGAAATCCACTAACAGCAGAATCTTTGAGTCGTGCTCCAAAACACTGCAGCACAGTGCCTCTTATATAATAATTGTCCATTACATGAAAGAGCACCAACTTTAGTATATTTCTATTTATAGTTAACTTGTATTTATGAAAAACAGAAGTCTCAGAGTTACTATCATACTGATAGAGAGTAAAGACCCAAATTGGATGTTTTATAAACTTCACCTAGTTTAACAAGCACCTGAGAACATCCTGAGATCCCAGGAATAGGTGGTAAAAATAATACTCAGAAACATAGGTGTGAGGGCTGGGGTTGTGTGTGGTTCAGTGGTAGAGTGCTTGCCTAGCATGTGCGAGGCACTGGGTTCGATTCTCAGCACCACTTATAAATAAATAAATAAATAAAAGTCCATCAACAACTAAAAAACTTTTTAAAAAGAAAAGAAACATAGGTGTGAGAACATACCCCAGAATAGGTTTATGTGTTCAAATTGGTAAACCTCAGTGTGACAAAGTACAGGCGGGTGGGCTCCTGTGCTTGGATCAGTAGCATAGCCATTTCAGAAGAAAAGACAAAGTAAATGGTAAAACTTGAAAGATATAACTCTTTGTAGCTTTAAGAAAGCATCTCATGAGTGAGAACAGAAGTTTTCAAAATCATATGGCTGAGAACTCAGGATACAGAAGAGACCCAGCATTTTCTTTTTTCTTAATACTCCATTACTTCTTGTATTTGAAAAGTGTAACAATGTTGCTTGAAGTCTTAACAAACTACTTATTAATTACTTAATTATAATGTACTTAAATTGTAACAAGAGTAGGTACTTTGAGAGCTGGAGCTCGGCTGGGCTGCTGCAGATGACCCCTGTRGTCTTGAGGAGGGCTTTGGAGGTAATTCCTTAGCCTGTGAGGAATGACAATATGACATAATTCTTCCGTCCAGTTCACACTTAGCAACACAGGATGCTTTTGCGTCTAACGAGTCTAAGCAGCAACGTTCGCCCCATGCACTTACTGAGGTGGCACCCTAGGAGCTGACAGGGACCTCTGGCACCGGGAACGAGTAGGCCTGGGTGGGAGGGTGGCTGGGCGCGACTGGGCAGCCCAGGGGAGGGCAGTGACCTCACGCACTGTGCGGCAAGGGCCAGGCTGTACAAAAGGCTGTCGTGGGACGTGGTGAAACACCCACAGAGTTTGGGGATGTGGGCTTGGCACGGGGTTAGTGTGGCCGTCCTCCCCTTCAGGAAGTCTGGCCCTGAGATGGCACGTCAGGGTCACGTGACACCTTCACACTCACTGCCATGCAACTGAAGTCACACGGGAAGTGGAGGGGTCATGGGGCCTGACACCAGGGACAGAGGACAGAGGGCTCTACGGAGGGGATTCCTGGGATGCGAGGAGACCAAGGGCGAAAGCTCAGAACCTTGTGTAGCTCCCTGGCTGCTCTCCTGGCGTTGGTGCGCTGCGCCTCACTCTCGTACTTCTGGGTGAAGGAATCAAGAATCTCATAAAGATCTTCGGCTTGCGCAGGTCGTGGCACGTCTCCAAATAAGATGTCACAGGCTCGAACGTCCTGGCAGTAGAATCTGAGAAGAACAGGCCATTAAGAAAGTTGTTTCCGCAGGCACAGGAATGTCTCTTCTGCAGCCATGCGCTGTGGCTCCCGTGGGCCGGCCTCCCCAGCCGTCCTGTCCCGCTCTGCACTCCCCTCAGGTTKCCTCCAGAGGCAACTGCCCTGAGTATTCTGGCGCGCACCCTTCCTCTGTAGGCACAGAGAGCACACAGACACATTCTTATGCATCTACCACACACATCTACATGGAAAGTTTACAGAAATCACAAAATCGTGCAGTTTTATAGGTTTTTTTCCCTTTAAGTTAGTTTCTTCAAAAATGGTACCTATACACATGGCTATGTGACTTCTTTAAAATGTTTAACATGTTCGTTTTGTTAAAATTAAATAAAGATTTGTCTTATATGTTTGGAAGTCCTGAAGTTCATTAAGGACTATATTTGTCTTAGTAGAACTTTAGTGGAAATGTCAGCCAGAGACCTGGAATCAGAAGTTGATGAAGCATTCTTAAGTCCTATTTCTCAGACCACTAAATCCAGCAATGAGAACTCTGGTTCCACAGCATAAACGGCCCTGTGTCCTCACTCTCCCCACCAACACCGCTTTCGAGTGGCTCCCAGACGCTTTAATGTGAGGTGTGCTAGTGAGTTCAGATGCTTTAATGTGAGGTGTGCTAGTGAGTTCTCTTGTCCCCTGTGGTGGCAGGTCTGTTCCTGGCCCTGGGGAAGCTCTGCCAAGCAGCACTGCCTGGGTCACAGGCAGGCGGTCTGGGCCTTCCTGGGGTTCTGGAAGTAGCCTGCCCTCAGTCTCAGCCACAATCCTAACTGGACTAAAGTGGGGCAACATCTAGCAGCGGCTGGGAAAACTCTCCAGAGGTCAATTAGAGAGCAGCCTTCACCCGTAAGTCCTTCTAAATGCTTTTTAAAAACCAAACTGCATTTCTAATTAATATTGGTCTCCATTTGATAAGGAGGGAAGGCAAGGGCAGAGTGTAATAGCAGAACATCTCTCACAGTGAGGCCCATTTCATTTGACCTGCAAGTTTAACTCGAAGCCCTCCCTGGACCTTTACAAACATGTTGAAGTGGGGTCTCTGGCCAGCAGACAGCTATGTGGCAGCCAGTGAGTGCTCACCGTCTCTAGGGTGGTAGTGAAAAGATAACATGCCGCCACCTTCCTTGATGGGACAAAGGACAAGCATGCCTAGGAGACTGCTGGAGGCAGAAGGTGTATGTGAACAATGATAGTGTTGGAGCGATGCAGTTTTCCTCTGTTTTTTTTTTTCTTCTAAATTTTCTATAAGTATATATTACTTTTATCTTGTATGTTTCAATATAAAACATATGTTTAGAGTCACATCTCATTATATTTAAGAAAACATACATAGGTACTCTGTAAACTAAAGAGCTGTTTCAGTTTTGAACTATCATCTTCTTGTCACCTTCTAAGTCATTTACAATCTGCAGCATGAACTTACTTCCGGTTAGTTTCTTTCCTTTCAATTAGACAGCTCCCTTCTAGAGAGATGCCTGCGAAGAGTCCCCTGGACTTGCAGTATGTGAAGACAGCTGCAGAGCTCCTCAGGGCCACATTTCCTTCCAGGTTCCTGAAAAGAATGGAGGCCTGAGATGACAGAGAGCACTGCACAAGCATGTGAGGAGCTCCCCCTGGCACTCACTCCAGGGGGTCTGGCAGGGTCACTTCCTGATGGCTGCACGACAGCTCTGAGGTGCCTATAGGAAAGCAAGGCCACCAGAACAGACAGAGGGTGCCTGACTGGAGCCCTGCTCTGCAGAGGATGCATGGAAAGCTGACATCTTTTAGACATGGAAACAGCTCCAGAGAGCTGAAGAACTGGGTGCAGTATGCACACCTGTAAGCCCAGTGGCTTCTGAGGCTGAGACAGGAGGACTGCAATTTCAAGGCCAGTCTCAACAACTTAGTAAGGTGAGACCTTGCCTCAAAATAATAATAATAATAAAAATTGAAAAAAAAGAGAGTGCTGAAGAGCTTGATTTCAACTAACATCATATCACTTTCATTAAAATACATGCCTTTCAGATGATTTTTCTGTGTGACTTTCTTAAATGTGAAATTTTCCTGCACTACTTAATTAACCCAAGAAGAGCACTTCATCAACAGAGAAGGAAAATATGCAACTTCAATGTTGTGAATATCCCCCACTTCAGCACTCAGGACTCAGAAGGAGGCTTCCCTCTTCTGGCCCTGCTATCCTTTACCACCCACCAACCTTCCTCAGAGCTCACGGTGAGTGTTGTTCTGTGTTCTGTGCTGGCTGTTTCGTGTCTTTCTTTCTTTTTTCTTTTTTTTTTTTTTTTTGCATTGGCTTGATAACCATCTCTGGCAGATGCAGAAATCATAAGTTTGTCTATTTTAATTAAAATTTCATCTCAATGCAAAAAAAAAAAAGGAGTTTTTAAGTCTTTACCGCCTTTGATATCTATTCTAACACCACTTTATAAACCTTACCTTCCCAAGGGCCCAACAGCCACAGTACAGTTCCCTCCAAGCGTCAGATTCCCACCTTTCGCAAAAGCTTCAACAGCTCTATCATAGTTCAGAATTATCACCAGATCCGATACCTAAAAGGTAAAACCAGTTTATTTAAAAAGTTACAACTAAATATCATTTAAAATAAGGTCAATTAAAACTCAAACAAATCCTAATGTAATGTAGTAAAATTTCGTGCCAACAGAGAACAGGAAGCCAATGTTCTGAGCCGAGACACCACAAGTGCACAGGTGGCACCCCAAGCCCTCAGGCCCCAAGCACTAGATCTGTGCTCCAGGGGCACCTGGCTCTACTCCTTGCTCCAGCCAGTACCCAGGTGTAGGAGGCTACAAGCTGCCACTCCTGTTGCCAGGACCGTCCAAGTCGGGCAGGAGGGAGGTATCTACATGCCCTGTGATATCCTCCACTACTCTCTCCAGGACAGCCAGACTGGAATGGTGTGTGTATGAAGTGTGTCCCAAGAGCTCATGTTTGAGCTGGTGCAGGAGTGCTCAGAAGTGAAATGATTAGATCTTGAGAACTCTCCCCTAATCAGCACACCGATCCACAGCTGGATTAACTGGTAACTGTAGGGAGGCTGGTTGGGGCTCGAGGAGGTAGGTCACTGGGCATATCTTTGAGGTTTATATTTGTTCCTGGTGAGTGGAGCTCTCCCTCTCTGCTTCCTGGTGGTCATGTTCTGAGCTGTTTTCTTCCACCACACTCTTCCCCATGATATCCTTCCTCACATGAGCCCAGAGCTATGAAGTTGGTGTTTATGGACTGAGATCTCTGAAACAGTGAGCCCAAATAAAGTTTTCTTCTTTTAATTGTTTTTGTCAGGTTTTTTGTCACAGTAGTGAAAAAGCTGACTAAAATACAAACCCAGGAACCTAGGAAGCTGCAGTGGCAGATCCAGGCAGCACCCACATAGTGCTCTGGGGGAAGCTGCATGCACACCCCCAGGGAAGTGCAGCCAGGCACTTGGCCATGGATGTTCACAGTGCAGGAGTAACCTGGTTTCCATTAGCAATGCCCACGACTGGGAGTTTGTTTTCCTCTAAGTAGAAGGAAAACCTGGGATAAGAGCCAGCTGACTGCTCACTGCAGGTCCTGCTGTGCCAGAGCCCAAGGTTAGAAAAGTTAATACCCCCTTAAAGCTTCCCACAGGGCCATGCAGCAACCCAATGGCCATGTGTAGCAGGCAGCTGGAGGCAGTGTGATCTTGGGGGGACTACTGAGCCACTCGAATCCCTGGTTTCCTCTATATAACATGGGCACAATCACAGTAGCTGCATCTGTAAGGCCATTTGAGGATGAGTGGGAATCATGGTGAAGCCTGGAGTAGTCCCCACATCTCAAAAAGCACAGAGGCCAAGCCAACCTTGACAGATGTTTTGACTTGCCCATTCTTTACTCTCTGAATGTTTTCAAACCAATGCTTTTGTTGACCTACAGAAAACTCATGTTATTACCAAAGGAGATTGTACTTGAAAGGACCAGATGGAGTTCCTGGTACAAGAGGCTGCTGACCCAGTGGCACCTGCCGAGCACTACTTTCACTTCACACACAGGCCATCTCTGAGAAATGGGGTTGAATGACTTGGAGCGACTTGCATTTTCTCTCAAAGTTAAACCCTTTGGCAGTGATCACAGCCTGTGCCTCACAGGCACTTGCAGATGACAAGATGGCCTGGGTCTTGCGCTGTGTTCAGCATCCACACCTGGAACATGTACACCTGCCCAGGACCTTGCAGCTGCTCTAGTTGCCCTGTCCTGCTCGGGATGTCTCAGTTAAGCATGGAAAAGCTCTAAGAGGCAGTTAAGGAAAAACATCCATCTCTAATCTTCTATCCGTCTCTGTTTGGTTCCTTTGAAATGGGAGTAAAATGATCCCGTGTTCTTTCGTAATACCACTAATGAAGCAGAGAACCAGGTCACAGCTCCACAGACAGCTCGAGCAGCATGTGAGTACCAGCAGCCCCAGGCTTATTTCTGGGGGGAGAAATAAGCACAGAATGAGGAGCAGAACAGGTTCCTGCAGGGGCACCGGCAGGGGGAACACTGCCATAGGGTGTGAAGCCATGAGAAAGTTTGATAGGTGCTTCCTTGGTATTAATCAATAAGATGCCAGTTTGTCAATTAAACAAATCTGTAACTCTAAAGATCAAACATAACCACCACCAGCAGCAAAACCTGGAGGGATGTCTTCTGAAGCCAACTCCTCTCTGCAGCTGCTGCTTGGAAGCCTGCTGGGGACGAGCACCACCTACCTCTGCCCCTGCTGCCATTTCCAGCTGAGAGTCTGGCTTGTATGTGAATTGGGGCTTAACCCCAGTTAAGGCCTGGGGTTCCTGCATGGCTCTGTGGGAAGCTTCCTGCCCACCTGCACAGCTAAGCTGCTCTCCCCTCCCCATCTTTGAGCTCTTCTTGGATAGGTGAGAGCTCCGGTGTGGGCCCCCAGGTTGCCTTGCTCCCAGCATGTGGCCAGTTTTACTACAGAACAAACCTGGGACCTCTCCCAACACATTCCACTCCTTACACAACAGGTCCTTCACACATCGGCCTCTAACAACATCACTCTTCAGCTAGAGCCCAGCGGCCTGCCTCCTGAGGAAGGCAGAAGACAAGCTCTCCTTGGAAGAAGTTGAATCGTTTCTTCAAACTCCAGTGAAAGCAAGATTTCCCAGAGTTACTAATGCAATGTGAACTCTGAATTTGGTACAAAAGACAACTGGATAGGTTCCTATCCAATACTATCCAGTAGTCCCCCCATAACAGGTCCCACCACAGGCCACTCTGGGCCTCTGTGACATTGTTTCCTTCACTTTTCTCAACCATCTCTCTTTACCAATCTCTCCTACCAAAAGAACTTTCCCCACCCAAACTACCCCTTATTCCAGATGTAGGCAGCCATTTATTCATTTAGAGGGCTACTCAGTACACTCAATATCCAAAGGAACAGGGAGTTGGTACCCAACTCCCACCCTACAGAATCTGAGGTCCAAACGTGTGGACCGTGCCTGTGGCTCTGGCAAAGTGCAGGGTTCCTGGCATGTACAGGCCAGGATGAAGCTGTGGGTGGTGAAGGTTCCACAGTTACTGCTCAGGAGCATCAGGCAGGCTGCCTTTGCTAAAGCCACACCCTGTCCATAGCCCTAGTTGTCAGTTATACACTCGGACAGCAAGGCATGAAAAGAACCACATTAAGATTTCAGTCTTTCTCTACAAGGACTCTCTCAGCATGAAGCCCCGGTGCTCTAAGGGTTGGTTCAGGAAGATTCAATACTTTGCCCAATGTTCTAGGGCTAAAAGAAGAGCTAAAACTGAACTTCGTAGGTGGACTCTCTACCCTGTCTATGGTACATCTGCCAATCAAATGCCCTCTGAAGATGGAGGGTCTTGGAGCAGCAGGAAGTTGGCTCCACACACACTTAAAGGGGGAATGCTTCCAGAGCAGTGCAAAGAGTCCCCGTAAACCAACAATAACTTGAAAAATAATTAGAAAAAGCACTTCCCATCTGTGGAAACTGCCCCACAGGCAAGCAAAGTCAACAAAGTGATACACACTCAGGAACTCTGTTCAGACTTGGCCGAGATCGCTGCAGCTGGTGACACTGGTGCTACATACGCAGCCCAGGTTCGGCTGGTGGGCCACCCTACAGGATAGTGGCACAACGACCCAGCCCCTGGCCCCAGCTTGTTGTTGCAGGAGCTGCAGTCCAGGTGTCTGCAGCCCCTCCTCAGGCCCCTCTACCCGTTATGGTTTGATGTGAGGTGTCCACCAAAAGCTCATGTGTGAGACAATTCAAGAAGCATCAGAGGAAAAATGGTTGGGTTGTGAGAGTCTTAACCTAATCAGTGAACTGACCCCCTGATAGGACTAACTGAGTGGAACTGAAATGGTGGGGTGTGGCTGGAGGAGGCAGGAATTGGGGACATGGATTTGGGATATATATTTGTATCTGGCAAGTGGAGACCTCTCTCTCTGCTTTCTGATCATCAAGTGAGCTGCTTCCCTCTGCTACACTCTTCTGCCATGATGCCCTGTCTCACCTTGATCCCCAAGGAATGGAGCTAACTGTCTATGGACTGTGATCTCTGAAACTGTAAGCCCCCAAGTAAGCCCTTCTTCCTCTACAGTTGGGCTGGTCAGGTCCCTTACGCGGCAGTGGAAGAGCTGACTGAAACACAACCTGTGTGGCAGAAGCCTACCCAGGAGTCGCAGGGCCCATCCTCCTTGGTCTGGCTCACCTGTAGTCACGAGTTCTACCCAGAAGACAAAAGGCTGTGACTGCCCAGAGATGCTGGAGTCACGCTAGTGAAGCAGGCCACTGTCCCAGCCTCTAGCTCTGGAGGAACGGCATGGAGATTTTGGCCAGAGAGAAGTGCAGACTTCAATCACAGTTCCAAAGTTCCCTGGGGAAGCCAGCTGAACTGAAGCAGAGTGGGCAAAGCTCAGGGTGCTGTGGCAAGACAAGGTCTCTGAAGACACAGTAAGCAGCAGCTGGAGCTCCACGAGAACAGTGGAGCAATATGTTGAGGATGAAGCCATCAGCAGGCTAACACCCGAGTGACATCAACAGTCAGTCAGACAGCTCCTCAGAGACCAAGGAAGAGCCCTGCTGTCTGTGCACCTTTCCAGGAGCAGTTGACGGATGCACTGAGACAGCCCAGCAGAATCACTAACTGAACAAGTCCTCAGAATCAGCTGTACTCACTCTTACTGTAAAGAGACTGTCAGGGTCCGGGCATCCTGAGGTGACCAAGCGACTTCCAGGCAGATCCTTATCATAGAGTGGACACAGGACTAGGATGGCTACAGACAAGAACTAGGTAAGCACCAGATAACACAACCCTAAATGCCATCCCATGTGTGGCTCCTTGACAAAGTGTCATTAAGTGACAAGGATGCATGACCCAAATCATGGGTTTTCAATAAAAATTATGAGACAAGCAAAGAAGCAGGAGAACATGACCCAAACACAAGAAAAGAGAAAAGCAAACATGGGTAACTGCCTTTCCCACTTAGCAGACAGAAATTGTTCAAATTCTGTTCAAAGAATTATATTATTAAGAGGCAAACTCTGGAAAAGGAGAACATTGCCTCAAAGATAGAGCACTTCATCATTGCTCAACTGGTGCAGACAGAGGCCACATGAAGAGCAAGGAGAAGTCCTGGGATTGAAAGCAGGTGACAGATATGAAGAATCCCCTAGAGGGGTCAACCGCAGAGCTGAGCAGGCAAAACAGAGTCAGCGATGTAAGGACAGATCCATAGAGAACCTTAAGACTAAGAGAAGAAGGATGAGCAGATGCCATCACCACGAGGTACAAGGTGCCAATGGGGATGCCAGCACCACAGGGAAGAAACAGAGGACACTCTCCAAGAGGCCATGACTGGAAACATCCCCAGCTGATGACAGGAGCAGACAGTGTTCCCAAGCAGAACAGTGAGCCCTGAGCAGGCTAGATGAGTGGAGATCCACCCCCACACACAACTGCAAAGTGCTGGAACATGGAGAAAAATCTCAAAGGCAGCAAGAGAAGGAGGACTCACCATGTGCAAGGAACCTCAGCAAGATGCATGCAGGTTTCCCACCAGGGACAGCGGAGACTGGGAAGCCCTAAGATGGCAGATCAGATTCCTGAAGGGTAGACTGTCAGCCCAGAATCCAATACCAGCAAAATCGCCTCTGGAAATGGAGGTGAAACTGAGACGTCCCCAGACCAAAGGAAAAAGAACTGGGGGATTCTGTTGCTAGTAGACCCATTTTACAAGTGCTGCCAGTGACAGCTCCTTAGGTTGAAGCCAGGGGCCCTAGGTGGCAATCAAAACCATATAAAGCAGAGCACTGGCAAAGACAAGCATGGAAACAGGAGCAGGAGTGCACACGCCTCTCTCCTTGGTCCCTGACCTGAGTATAACGCAATTTGAAATGCCTCCTGTGAACTGTGTTGCTATGCCTGCAACTGAGAAACGCAATGTATCTGCCACCAGCAGATCAAAGGAGTGGGCAGGGGCAGGGCTGAGTTGCAGAATGGACACCACACCTTTTGTCCCCTGGAATCCACAGGAGCAGGCATGCAGGACCACAGGTGGCAAGTTAGAAGGCCCATAGTGGGATCAGAAAATAAGCACCTGCTCTCAATTCTTCACTTGATTTCTTTAAAGACATGACATTATATAACTGCCAACTGTAAAATGTAGAATTTGGCTTATAATTATAGATGCAATAACACATTCATAGCAAAAAAAAAAAGGAGAAAAGGGAATATGACTAAATAAAACAACAATTCTGTGTCTTACAGAATAATGCTAATATAAATTTGAAATAGTTTTTGCTAAGATGTGTTGTAAACTCTACAGTCTAAAATATGACTCAAAAATAATAAAAAATCAGAAGAAAAATACAACTTTAGATAGAGAAAACATGAAATGTCAGATACCCAGCAAATGATACTGATAATACCAGTACACATAAATGGATTGAATGACCCAACTGAAAGGCAGAGACTCTCAGGCTAGAGTAAAAAAAAAAAAAAAAAAAAAAAAAAAAAATCCAACCACATGCTGCTATGCACACTGCAGATCCAAAGCTCCTGGCAGACAGCGTAAGAGCAGCTTCAGGGAAGAGGCAGGCTGTGCTCTTTCTAGCCTCCTTGCCCATTTTGACCCAAGCAGACAGAAATGCTGGCTGGGGCTGGTCTGAGACCAGAAGGTGAATGCTGTCACATCTGTACTGAAAGCTACACATACTTCCTGCTGTTGCTGGAGAGTGCCCCTTATCATCTCCAAGGGTTGGGCTCAGAGCAGCAGTCTGACCACATTCAGAAAGCTTAAAGTAGTTTTCCWAATGTTGGGAAATGCTTTTTATTATCTCTACTGAAATTGATACCTTAAAAAGCTAGTAATTATCATTTATGCCTGTTGTTTAAGTGAAATTTCAGAGTTGATTCCCATTCTGTCATGAGGATAAGCTTTGCAATCAAAAGTTCTATATATGACAAGCTGAGTAACAATACAACCATTCCAAGTGCTTTTCATGTATAAACCCATTTATTCACTCATCAGTTTAAAGCCAGAGGAAGGCTATTTTCACCTGTTTCACAGAGGGAAAAATTAGGCCAAATCATGAAAGACAGCTCAAGAAGAACTGACTGAAATGTGAAAAGAAATGATTTCAGCACATCAGGAGATCTGATTTACCAAGAACTTAGCAGTAAAGCAACAGATGAAACTCTAACAGCATGGATGAGTTGATGCCACACCTTTGTTGTTGTTGTTGTTGAGGATGAAGCCATCAGCAGACAGACTTGTAAACAGGGACACCCCAGTGTGTAATTCCTAGTCATTGATAACCTCCATAATTATGAGGAGATAAGTCATACACAGAAATAACATGTGCTAGCATGCACTTCCAGAACTTGAAGGAAACTGTGTTTAACCACAGATGGTGACGCCCTGTGTGGAGCCCGCCCACCTAGGGAGTAAGCAGTTTTGCAGTTGGTGACCCACAACTGCCAATGCCAACAACCGTTTGTCAGACCCCCCTTCCAGGGAAAGGGACAAAAGCTTCCTAGGGGGGTCAGAAGAAGGTGGATGTGGTCAGGGTCTGCACACACAGGTATGCCTCAGGTGAGATCTCTAGCACAGGAAAAAAAGAACAAAGGGGAGGCAGGGGAGGGGGTGCAGAATGAGAATAAGGGGGAACCATTCCCCAAGGCATTAGACTAGAAGCCAAGGGAAACCTATGGCTTTCACATGTTGAGACCCCAGGGCCTCAAGGACACACAAGCTACCCACTCACCTCGATTCCTATTTCAAATCCCCCGCCAAGCCCAGCTATCCCAATGGCTGAAGGTGCAGACCACGCTGATAAAACAAAAACAAAAGCATACGGTAACATTAAACACCCCTGACACATGAACAACTGTGGAAATATAATAAAATGTAAAAGATGGCTTTTTAAAATTACTTAGGTRTTTCTCTATACATTTAAAAATATTCTTTAAAAAGCATATGCAGTCTTCTAAAAGCTGAAGATACTTCAAAGGTGTTAGATGCTTACTATGGGTTTGAGATTCACAGACTCACGTCCTCCAGCTCCCTGCCAACATGCATAACTCCAAACTATTGTGCTGTCTGCTACCTTCAGCTGCCAACATTTGTATCACTGAACCTCAACTCTAGTCTTTGGATACAATTTCATCATAGACAAAAGGTATCAGAGGATTCAAGAGTTCATTTTCACTCCTGGGGTGAACTAATACTGAATTCTTTTCATTGTCAATTCTCAGGGCAGGCTCTTGTTCCTAGTAGAGCACAAGTTACAGACAACAAGTTCAAGATCATTAGAATTCTAACAAGGGAAGTTTCTTTACATTTGGAAACCAAGTGCAATAATTCCATGTGCCATGATATGGTATATTTTAGGATTTTTGTGTATTTTCCTCAATATAAAAAGTTACGTTAAACGAGTCTAGAAAGTTGGTGGGGGTGGGAAAGCATGAGAAAGGCCTTCTCAGGCTCACTCTGCCTCAGCAGGCTGATTAAGGAAGTCAGTCTGATAATGCCAAAGCTACTTTTTACTTATGCTGGAGCTGCCCTGGCTCACAGGCCCCTGGGGGGAAAACTCATTCTGTCTCGCTGCAGTTTTTAAATCCCCCCCCCCACCTGGTATGCAGCCACTGCTCAGGATGGAGAGGAACTGAGGTTCTGGAATGGTAGAAAGGTGAGTTGGAGCTGATAGGCCCTCAGGGCTGGGTGCGGGTGGGTCCTGCACCAGCTCTGCCCAGGGGGGCCTTCCAGCTCCAAGAACTTCCTGCAGATACCAGTCCCACCTGGCAGGAAATCCTCAGAGAAGCTATATTGCTCAGCTTTACTGTTGAAAAGTCTTCCCATGAACAGTGGGCAATGCTTTTTGTTTTCAATTTTTGAAGACTAGGCTTTTTAAGATTATTTTAACGTTTGTGAAAATAAACTTTTTAATTAACAATTAAACAGTTTTGATCTACGTGTTTCTTTGAACTTTCACATGAAGGGTCTGAAGAGGGAAGATGCTTGATGGATATGATACAGTGGCTTGCAGACTAGGTCTTGCGGTGCAGCCCCAAATCACAGCCACACATAGAGCTGTGATGCCGAGCCACACTTCAAGAGAGCCTCAGTTTCCCAGGGGGYGTGTGGAGGAAACAATGAGTCCAACCATCTGAAATTTAAAGAATGTGTGTTCCACGAACACTCCTATTTATTGTAAGTGTAAATTACTATGTTATAAAATATCTATTAGCAGAGCAGTGTGTTCCTACATGATGGACAGCAAATGTCAAAGTACAGTAGAGGCACTTTGGTGGTCACAACACCTGCCTACATTATAAACACTGCTACAAGTGTTGGTTCTTGGGATTCATGGCAAATACACTTTGACTTCATCTCTGAGAGGTAAAGTAGATTTCACCCCAGAAAGTAACAGCCAGTTAGACTGCCTGGGTAGGTTCTCCCTTGGTGGTTCTTCAAACACTGCAGATATTACCGTGTCCCACAGAACCACAGGTGCTTGCAGATGGTCCTTGTTTCCACAGCAACTTCAGAAAAAATGAGAGAACAATAGCAATAAAGATGGGGAAGAGCATTCACAGTCAGTGACAGACAGCAGACACTGCCCGGTACGGGCTGTGTGGAAGACCTGCAGAATGAGTATGAAGCAGGCCTGCCCTTGAGTCCTACCCATCATCTCCCAGGCTTCCTTCCCAACAGGCAGGTGTCATGTCCAGCTCCTGCCATGCCCTCCACGGAAGCATCCTTATGGAAAGAAGACAAAAAGGAATTGTGGTACTGTACAAAGGTTGACTTACTTCCGTCTGGAAGGCGGGCCAGGACAATCCCACTGCCTCCCCTGGCAGTCACCAGGAACCCAGCTTTGATCACAGACAGAATGGCAAGGCCTTTGGCTTTGGCAATCACATGGGCTACAAGAAGAAAAGCAAACAGAAAACCAAAGCGTGAGCAAAGGCAGTGTGGGGCAGAACTCACCCTAACACAATGTAGAAAAGTTCACCTTTTGTTGATGTGAAAACTGTGATTCAAGAATACCAAACTTACTAGCTACTAAGAAAGTTAACAACCTCAGGGTTCAGGGCCTGGGTTTTAATGACAAAGGCATAGTGATACACAGCTGCGTTGGAAATTATTGATAAATGTCTCTGTACACCACTATAGAATCTGATATCTCAGATGGAAGAGAAAAGCACAAAATTAAAACTTGTTTTTGAGGTTGTTAACTTTCTTACTAGCTAGTAAATTTGCAAGATTTGCTTATGCAGCACTTAGAGTAGGGCAAGTATAGGAGAACCAAGAAGGCTCCGGGAAGGCTCTGGCCCAGCATCTCCTTCGTAGCTGGGGGAAGACCCTGCCCCTGGCTCAGGCCGCTGCTGCCTTGCCCAGGAGACCCAGGACACCGCAGGGATCATCCCTGAGAAAAAAGGTGGCCTAAATGGTTACTAGTCTCTGTGGGATCAGCAGAGTGATACTGGAGCGATGCTGAGGAATGCAGAAGGGCAATGTAGAAAAACACATTCAGTGATTCACCCACCAGGAATGATCTTATCAGGTCCATTTCTAGAAGTTATTTCCGTGAATTCTCTTAGGATTCTAGCAGCCTTCTTTGCTTCTGATTTCAGATTGGAAGGTATAGGATTATTCACTGAAAACAATTTTTTAAAAAGATATTTTAATGAAAGAAATCTACATTAAGCTTTAACAAATCATACCCCCCGCCCTAAGGAAATGGCTTGGTGGTCTTCAATTATTGACTACTTTGTCTTTTTCCTAAGACATCAAATCTACTCTGATTAGAAAACCCTAAGCTCTCAAAATCTCAGAATCATTACATTGTGGGATTCTAAGGATGAGAGAATCTGGTCCACTATCCCACTTTGAGTCTCCTTCACATCATCAATGCACCTTATGACTATCAAAAAGATTCAGAATTTAAAAATTAGGAAAAGGTGCATTTCACAACTAGTGGTGTCCTAGTAAAGTGTAATGTTAACATATTTGGCCATTCTCATCAGAACACTGAACAGGCTGTCTGCAGACTTTCCTAGAGCTGAATCCTGGGGGCCTGGGAATTGGCTCCACTGCACTCACCAAGGCCTCCCTGGGCTGTGGGCAAACACGTGCCCCTGGGTGTGCTTCTCTAACAGCACTTGTGGCCCTGGGGTTCTGCAGTGTGGGAGGTGGCCCCTCACTTGTCACTGGACCACAGGTCACAGGAGTCCATGAAGTCCAGCAGCTCTGATGTGCACCAAGTGAGTGTGGCAGCTAGGATCCCTCACTTAACTGTCTGCAAGGTGAACACCTGGCAAGGTGAAGGCACCCCTGCACATCTTGTCTCTGGTACAACTTGCATGCCAAAGGACGCTCAGACAGACAGGACGATCCAATGGCCCAGGGAAAGAGTCCTTTGATCCAGCAAAACACTGGTATTTCTCCTTAAGTAATGTGATGCATTTGGGCATCTGGCGTGCTTACTGTATGCAATACGTTTTAAAACTGGAAACTGAGTTGGGTCATATTGGAGCTTCGTTCTGTTGAGAAGTCAGTTTGGTTTTCTGGGTCAACACAGGAGCATCAACAAGACTCCAGCAGTGCAGCGTCAAGTCTGTGAATCATCAGTGAGACTAGTCTGGGTAGAGGAATTACTTTGAGGGGGAGGGTACCAGCAATTGAACTTAGGGGCACTCAACCACTCAGTCACATCCCAGCCCTACTTTGAATTTTATTTAGAGACAGGGTCTCACTGAGTTGCTTAGCACCTTACATTTGCTGAGGCTGGCTTTGGACTCATGCTCCTCCTGCCTCAGCCTTCCAAGCTGCTAGGATTACAGGTGTGCCCCATGGCATCTGGCTTAGAGGAATGTTTTCAGAGTTTGTGCAAGCAGGATAAAATGCATATGTGTCCTTTTCCCCCTTCGGCATCATGCCACCTGTATGTCGTGGCACCTTTCACTTTCTCCCAACTTTTACTTCAGAATGGCTGATACACTGGCTATTGCTGTAGGCTCTTCCAATTACCTCTGAGATGCACCTTCCAGAATGGAATTCACCTATGTTTTCAGGGCAGCAGAAGGAGCGTGTATCACACTTCTCTCCTACAGCCACATCCTTCCTGAGTTTTGCAGTCAGACAGCCTCTCCCAGCCACAGGCAAGAGCCACTCCAATCTCACATATGGCAGTTTTTGTCTGTGCAGAACATTACACAGATGGAGTGGGGCGCGACTCCTTCTCCACTGCTGATCTCACTCACTGCAGGATTGACGCTACCTGTGATGTCATCATGTGGATCAGAAGTTTACCGTCCTCCTGGTCAGAGGGCACCTGACCTGTGGGAACTTTTCCTCCTGCCCTACCTTTGCCGGGGCCTTCCCAGTTTTGGGCTATTCCAAATGAAATTGGTAGATATTCCCATGAAAGTTTGTGCACAGGGCTGGGGATGTGGCTCAAGCGGTAGCGCGCTTGCCTGGCATGCGTGCGGCCCGGGTTCGATCCTCAGCACCACATACCAACAAAGATGTTGTGTCTGCCGAAAACTAAAAAATAAATATCAAAATTCTCTCTCTCTCTCTCTCTCCTTTCTAAAAAAAAAAAAAAAAAAAAAGAAAGTTTGTGCACAGATGTTGTGTTTCTCTTGGACAAATACCTAGACACAGGATCCCTGTTTATAGGGCAAGCACATGCTAGCTGCCAAGGTGGCTATCCGAGATCCTCTCACATGTCTACTAGAAATCTGGGAGAGTTCTAGCACTCTACATCCTCACCAAGCCTTGGCATGGCCAGTCTTGTAAATGAGTTATTTCCATGAATTTCACTGTGCATTGTTTTTATTTCCCACAATTGATGGTGTTGAACACTTCCTTATGCTTATTTTTGTATCTTGTAGCAAGTGCTAAAATATTTGCTCATTTAAAAAAGTGGATTGTTTTCTATTTTATTTAGTTGTAAAAGATCTTGCATCATGGATTTTGTGTATTCCAGCTTCTTTGTCCTGGCGAGAGCTCAGTGTGCACTTCCTGGGTGCGCACAGTGAGCAGTCAAGGCCACCTCTCCATTGCTGTTGAGTGCTTTCATACTTCATGTCCACCCACAGGGGACACAGTCCTGTGGACACAGTTTCTTACTGACTCCTACACTAAGGGGACTCACCTTTCTCTGGAGTCTGTTTCCCATCTGTCTTTTGTGATGGTCTTCTCCACTTTTTTCTTTAATTAAGTCAAATCTATCTTTTAAGTACCACAAGTTTCTTTTAACTAAACATACTAATTCTCAGATTCACATGGAAAGATAAAGAAGCAAGAGAAGCTGGGGAAAACTGTACAAGGAGAACAGTGAGGGCCAGCTCCACCCAAAGCTGGAGCATATGAAGAGGTCTCATCTTAGTGCCCTGCAGTGGACACAAGCCCAGGAAGAACCAGCTTCACCAGGCAGAAAACCCATGTATGACAAAGACAGAGCCTCAGGTCAATGTCAAAGTGACAGGARACAAAGGTCTTTGGGGAAAAACCTGAAGTTATGGTCCAAGTGCATTATAAAGCTAAAAGTCCAAAAATGTGAGGAAAGAGGCCCCTGCTGCTAATCTCTCCAATGCTCAGTCCCCTTCCCAGGTGCACCTGGAAGGTTCCTGCACTACACATGCAGGCCATTACTACCTTAGCTGTCACAGACACCTGCGCTGGGTAGTAATCATCTTGGCACACACTCTTAAGTTAGAACTGCTAAGGAAAATGTCCAACAATCTCAAGGTGCTCTACCACCGAGCCACATGCCCATTCCTTAAAGTTTTTATGTTGTCCATATGCTTTCCAAAAATACTAGCCATGTTTAGAGCTGCTGGGCATTGCCATCGAAGTGTCTTCTGCTTAGAGGAGGCATGCTGGGAGGACAGCAATAGGATGAGGCATTTGTATTCGAAATTATCTGAACATCAAGGCACACCACACAACAAGGCATTCTGAGATAACCAGTCCTCTGTATTAAGATGAAATAAAACCAGTTCACAATGTCACAACTTACAAAAAAATGCCAAAATAAAAAAAGTATCTTTTTAAAGGAACTCCACAAACAAGGTATAAAAATAAAGGAGAACTACAGATAAAAAGCTAAAAAGATTTGCCCACAGACACTTCAAAGATGAAAATGTAAGCTACAAACTGGAAGACACTCTTACACACACATGCTACACAGATCTAGGATCTGGACAGAGAGACTTCTGAGACTCAATGAGAGACAGATAGCATGGAAGGTGGGCAAAGAATCCAGGCAGCTTATTTGCAGGAGAGGAAGACTCTATGGTCAGTAAGTGGATGAAACCTGATCAGATGGACCAGGAAGCAGGAGAAAGCAAAGTGAGGTGGCTGAGCCTCCATTTCTCAACCATCAGAGAGAAAAGCTACAGGTCTGCCAGGAAGTGAGTGCAGGGGCAGTTGGCCATGGTGAGAGAGCCAGCCTCCAGGACAGGAGACCTGAACTCCTGTGGCAGTGCCTCTAACAGGGCATATCTGAGGGAGCTTGCATGGGGGAGGGCAGTCCCAGATACAGGTCTACCTGGACCCTGAAAATGAGACCTACTTGTAGAATGGACCTTGATCACCTGAGTGGGATCACAGGAGACAGAGGGTGCAGAGAGAACTGGAGAGGGCTGCTTGCTTGCAGGGAGCTCCAAGAGTCACTAGCAGCAGGAAGCAGGAGGATGCTTCCTGCAGCCTTCCGTGGGTCCTGGAAGACCTGTCCTGTTTAGGTGGTGACCTTGAGAGAGGGAAAGCCTGAAACGCTTGATGCCACAGCTTTTACACACAGGAAGATGCTCAGAGGCACCCAAGTGTCATTGGACAAGGGGCAAGGAGGTCCCTCCAAGGCGGTAGCATGACCTCAACCCAGTCCAGGTAGGTTCCTGATTTACACCCCTAAAAATTCCAGGACCTGATGAAAACAATCACAAGCCAATATTCAAGGACAGCAGAGGTGTACACAGCCAAGGACAGGGTGCAGTGCCCTCACCTCCCAGAGATGAGAGGACAGAGGGGCCAAGTGGAGCTCTGACTACATACAGGATTATCCTGGGAAGAAAAGTGCAGGTTCCCAGGAAGGCTTCTGGGAGTCAAGTCCCAGAACCACCACCTGACGGCTGGGTTCAGAATTTCTCCCTGGTTAAGCAGTCCAGCCAGAAGCCAGCCTCATTCACATTTGAAGTCTGAATGCAGGATGTTTAAATCGACTGTTAGGGTTGATCTGGTTCAAGAACTCCCCAGAGGTCTTGCTCATCTAACAAGAGACAGGCTTGGTTGGTCATGTTGGTGGACCTGGGCCTCCATCTGGAAAGGGCTTTTCTGTCCCTCTCCCAGAATCCACACAGCACAGGAGGAGTCTTAAGGAAGCCATTCAAAACCCACATCTATTTGCTGGTGCCCGCTAACATTTTCCTCTTATTAATGCTCTTGTTATGCAGTCTGGATTCAGAAAGTTTTAAGAAACTGAGGAGGAGGAAAACTCCAGGTAAACACATGGGCTTACAGAGCACAACTGACGGAGGCAGATTTCAGTCATGATTTGAGATAACTTACTAAAGATGGAAAACTGTTTTTTCGGTATTCCACAAATGACTAAGGAAAAAAAAATACAGGAAAGGGCATTTCCAGTTTCCAAGTTTCCACCTATACTTGTTCAGCACACAGACTTTGAACTCTCTGGTGTGTACATACTGGCTTCCTGACATTTTGATTGTAGGAGGGAAGGTATCAAGCTGTGGTGAATCAGCAAGACAAGCAAGCATATGAGTAGAAAACTGCTGAGGTTGACGGATCTGTTCATCAGGTGCATGCTCTGGCTGCAACACATACCTGTCTGCAACACACCTGTTTCCTGACTTGGCTCATAAAGGAAGGCAAGGACATACAGCCTTGGTTTTCACAGAATGAGGGTTACACCAGAGGGTTTGCCATGCTGGTTGAAGGCAGTGTAGCTGTGTGTTCATTCATGTTTCCTGCCATAGGATGGGCCATCCCCAGAGATGGTAGTGTGTGCGTTCCACACCAGGATGGTCAAGAAAGCTGTGTCCACCACTTGCTGGATGAGGAAGGAAGGGTTGGGACCTCAACCACTACGGCAAGACCAGCCCACCCACAACACCCCACTTGAGGGAGAGGGGATTCCTGCTGCACTGAGCAGTGGGAACCAGAGGCTTATTTACTATGCAGCTAACCATACCCTAATACCATTGAAGAATATTCCTGATCTCTCCATGGTATTTGCTGGAGAATCATTTTGAACTTCAATTTTCTACTATGGGACTAGCTTTGACTGGTCTTTATCTACATTCTAGTCACTTAGGAAATGGGAAAATGGGTAGAATACATAAACAATTAACCTATATGTCAATGTTTTTATCTCTGATTACTCAGTACTCACATTACATTTTTTTGAAGTTCTTCTGGAAAAAAAAAAAAAAGTATAACCATAGTTTTCCTTTTCATTAAATGCTAAATGTATGGTATGTTACCCTGGATCTACCAAGTTCTTCTATTTGCATACACACCTTAAAACAGCTCAACACAGTACGTTTTATCCTGCACTCCCTCTCTGGAATCCTACTCTTCTGCCTGGCCTTTCATGGCACTTGGGTGTAACTTGAGGGGGATATTTTCATAGGGGATCTGGGAACATAACCATGCATAAGAGCATTTGGTAGAGGTGGAGGGAGAAACTGGGCACTGTGGAGGCAAGTTGAATTCAGAGGAGCCCCAGACTTTAAGTCACATGGACCAGGAAAATCCTGTTCTGTTAAGGACCATTTAAGTCAGATTTTCTGATAAGTGTAACTAAAGCACAGTAAATTATACATAAATTGTATCCACAAGGACTTCTTACTTTGAAATCTCTCAACTGAACTGTATTAGACCAGTCAAACAAGAAAATTTTACAATCAACGGTTGCTGTGCAATGTCCTGCTGGGGGGAAGGTCAGGCCAGTGCTGTGACCTTGGCAGGAGAGCTCTGTGATCAGATGGGCCCAGGAGCTGCTGTCCATGCAGTGCTTTCCCACAGGCCCACAGCTATGGATGGACAGGCTGCTGACAAGCTCAGCCACAGTGAGGACTCCTGGCATGTCTGAACTTCAGAAAATTCTATGGGTTCTATCAAACTTCTAATAAAAACACTTTGCCTGATCCTAGTTATGCACAGTGAATTTCTGTCATAACTAAAATGCATAAATAAAAAATTTAGATATAAAACCTCACTTTCTGTCCTCAGTTTTTAACCTACTTTCCCTTCTTCTCTGCTTTGAGGAATAGAGTACATCTGACCAGGAGGTTGATGTTATTCTCTCACACTGCCGGAGTCAGGATGCATCTAAACAGTCATGAAGTCTGAAGCTTTTGAATTCCAAAGCCAAGCAAATTGTCTACTAAATGCCTGAGTTTTCTCCTAAGGGTTGCCACCAAACCTCAAGCCAAGAAACTCTTAGATGTGCAGCATTCTATAAAAAAGCAATTGAAATGTTTGAAATTTTCTGTACAAAGACTTTTTTTTTTAATTTAATAGGAGTTTATGAAGTGCTGGGAAGAAATTTTTACTGAGAAAACCTCAACAGCCTAAATGAGCTTAAGATATATAAATAATTTTACATGTTGACCAGAGGTCAATAACTCAGGACTATGGCCCCTGGGGGCCAATAGCAACATCTGAATCCTAGTTGTAATCAACTGCTACTGGGTGAGAAAGCTGGCCACCAATTCCAACCTAGACCTCTACCCAGGGTCAGGAACAGCAGCCAGCAACCAAAGGGTTCTCTCCCCGACCATCAACCAGACTCGGGGTTCCCAAACTTTCATTCCATCAGTAAGCATCAATTATGTGATTTTTTTTCAACATACCCTAAATTATGAAGGAAAACCTATAGGAAAAGTGAGCTTATAAATAGTTTTATAAATTTCCATTAATTATATACTAATCAAATTATTAAATCTTATAATATACATGAATTGAGAGTTAACTTGTTAAACTGATAAAACTGCAAAACCAAGATCAAAGAAACTAGAATGTGTCTAAGGATATACAGAATTTAGAACAAACTGATTAAATCTTAGCCAAAATAAACTTTATCTGTGTAATCTCCCAAGAGGCTTTTAAAATGTTGCCTCTCTCAGTAAATCCAACTCTGAATACTGCTGCCTGACAATTACTGCCTTTGTATCTTAGAAGCATGCCTATCTTTCTGGGGCCTTGGTTAAACTACTTTCTTTGTCTTAAAAGAGACAAAGCTTGTCAGTTCTAGAAATCAGAACCTGAGTCCCTGGTCAGATTACCAACCTCTTTAATTCAAAATTCCAGCCAACCAACGATGTGAACACCAGATCTTCCTGTGCCCTGTGCCTCTTTCTCATCCCTCTGACTGAAGGCTGTAGATGGAGGACAAGAGCCAGGAATGATGGGTGGGAAAATGCTTGGCTTTCACCAGCTCCACTTCTCCTCAGCTTAGGCAAGACCTTGAAGGACCAGACAGGTCATTCTGGTCTGACTGTCTTGTATAAAAAATGGACTCTTTCCAGAGAAAATAAAAATATTCAACATGCTTAGGTCTTAAATGGCAGAGAAGTATGTCTTGTCATGATACCATCTGCAAATAAGCTGATGAGCACAAGGGACTCAGGACTAGCCCTCAGTGTTCACATCACACAATAGTCCCCTTTGACCCCATCAACTTTATTTTTAAACACCAAAAGCTTATTTCTGAATATTGAGATATCTCCTGAAAATAAAGTTTTCCTAAACAGAATAAAGGTACCAAAGCACTTAAAAATTATTTTTAATCTTAAAAACGACTAGTATTGACTTGTTTTACAGAAATTTTGCTTAAACTGAACAGTAATAAACCTATAAACAATTCTTAATTTAAATATGATGACAGGACGGAGATCATCCCCCTTATTATTTTAACCTCCAACATAGCAATTTGGAAGCAATCAGACTGCTCAGGTATTTCAATAATAGGCCAGCACAGCAGGCTAAACAGCACCTTAAACCAGAGACCTACTACTATTCTCTGAATGGTGTGTGCAAACTTTCTAACTCATGTTTAATCCAAACACTTCCTCATATCTTAATAAAACACTGAGGTGAACAAGAATGCAGGACGGGCACACCCTGTAAGAAGAGCCAAGCCAAGCCTTCTCTGCTAGGGCGGAAACCTCTRGCCTTTGTGTCATTATTTAGTTTGGCTGCAGCAAAGCAGCGGCAACAATGGAATATTTGCTGGAGTGAAAATGATTTCCAGTCAACAGTGAAATCCTATTTCCTCAAGGTTACCAACCAACTCAGAGTAGTTCCATATTTTTAAAAAGAAAAGCCATCATCATAGGGAGATGCCCCAGCGGCGCCATGCTCAGCTCTGGGGACTTCCCCACCTTAGTGATGGCGCACCTGTTCCTGGTCCCAGGGCCAGGTGAGGCCTAGCACTCGTCCCTGCTTTCCGCAGTACCCCGCAACAGGAACGTTCAGGGTCTGGCAGCTAAGGAGCTGACTCCTGTCCGTGTCAAGCGCACCGGAAGCCTTTCACAAAAACGAGTTAGAAAATCGGTAACAGATTAGATATTGTTAAATAACACAGTGCATTTCAGTCGTCAAAATTCGAAACGTCGTAAGAGTTTTCCTACGAATCGGAGTGAACGTAGCTAAATTTGAATGAAAACCGCTGTGGCCCAGAGTTCTGGCAACTATTAATCCCCATCTTGGACGATCTGCGAAACGATCCAGTGTGGACAGCGACTTGGTCTTTCTCGGGTCCTCTCCCACCAACGACAACCGTCGCCAGCAAGGCCTTCTTAAAAGTGGACGGGTGGTCCCGACAAACCAAGGTCCCGTCCCAACGCCAGGTGCGGCTCGTCTGCGCCCAGACACCTTACTCACTTGTGCCGGCGAGCTGCTCCGCTGCGCGCCCCTCGAGCTCCGCACACCTGCCCAGGAAGAGGAAGGGCGGCCACCCTCGGTTCCGCCTCCCAGGGCGGGGACGGCCCCAGTGAGGGGCACACCTGGCACGCGCACGGRGCCAGGCTGTGCCGCCCACCTTGGCCACGTACCTAAGCATTTTCGCGGGGCACAAGATACAGCTGCGCTCCACCTCCTGACTCCACGGAGCTTCGAAAACATTCCATTATTTTAAGGAGGGGCCACCCAACCGGCGCGGGCTGAGCCTCTCGGGGCACAGCTCAGACGCTGCCTGGCGGACAGGGGCGGAGGGTTCCTCGCGCCCAGGGAGGCTCCTCCACCAGGASCCAGAGGGCGCCCGGAGGCTGCGGAGGCCTCACTTTCCGCAGGGCCCCGCTTATCCCCCTCCGCCCGCCGCCCGCCAGGGGTATCTCTGCGCCCCGCTGCGCCCCCACGGCGCGCTCAGGTGAGCAGCTCAGCGGCGCTAGACACGGCGGGGGTCCGGCCTGGAGGAGGCAGGAGACCGGTCCAATCAGGCTTCGCCTACCCGTCCCGCCCCGACGGGAGGTGCGGCGAGAGGCGGCCCACCACGCCCCCTGCCCTCCAGCTCGGCCCCTGCCGGAGGTTGGGAGGCCCTCACCCCACCCAGCCCCAACCCTTTCTTCCGGCTCTTCCCCTCCAGAAAGGGACTCTTCCCCAAGCCCCACCCCCGCCCAGGAGGTAGACCGCCCCACCTGCGGCCCCGCTGGAGCGTCGGGCGGCGGACTGCGCAGGCGCGCGGCCCAGGGCTCGCGGCCCAGGGCTTGCGCCGCGCATGCGCTGCGTCGGGACGTACGCCGACGCGGCCGCTGGGCGCGAGTGTCTGCGTTTGAAGATGGCGGAGAATGGTCCTAAGTCCGTGCTGTTCGTGTGTTTGGGTAAGGGTCTTCCTTCCTGGAGCGGCGGTTTGTGCCGTGTGGCTCTGGGCTGCGTCGCTAACCATGGACAGTGGGCCGGAGGGGCCTGGCGGGTGGCCGAGCCCGGTACCCTCGCTTCTGATCCCCCGATCCTGTGTCCTCTCACCTGCCATCCGCCTCCCAGCCGAGTCCTGGCATCTGTAGCAGGCTTTCTAAGCCGGATGCTTTTCATTGCACCTGCTAGAATCTTTGGTTGTCGTCCATTGTGCCCAGGTGGACCCAAAGCTGCAAGTGTTCTCTGTGGAGCTTTGCACCAATAACTACACTGGTTCGCTTGCTGGTGCCCTTGGCTTTCACTCACAGTGGATCTCAACTAAAGAGAGGTGCATCCCTATCATTCCAAGTTCTGGGTTCTTCAGGTTCAGGTCTCTCTCTGACTTTGGTCTCCAGCCTGTCAGTGTACCAGTTTCAATTTATTACTTCAAGTACCTTCCAGATCAGAATTGTTCTCATTCCTAGAGTATCAGCACGTAGTCTCCCTTACTTGAAATATAATTCACTTTCCTATTAGTTTGCAGTATTCTTCCTTGGTGCCTCCACACTAAGGGGGATAGTCCCAAATTATGCTTTCTACCTGGTGTTTTCTACCTGGTTTGCTTTGCTTCTGCTCCTCTTTAGGATAGAATTCTGCCAGGTCCATCCCCCTGGCCTCCCTTACATTTTCCCACCTAATATGGGAGGGCTTGACTTTCCAGCACCATTGCTACTCACACTGGAAACACTACTGTGCCTCGACTGATGAGTCTTTTACTGGACACTATGTTGTATTTTGTATGGAACCCCTTATATTTTTGTAAAGTCAAACCTAAATTCTACCTTCTTTGGTTTCTCAGACTGTTAGTTGCTTCCTTTGATTCCTTATAGAGATATTGTATTCCACAATAATTATTTGACAGCCTTTTGAGATCCCAGCCAGAGCTAACATTCTTGTGGTCAATAACTGTGGCTTTTTTTCTTTTTTTTCCCCCCCAGTTTCAGAACAATACAGTATAACATTTTCTATGGGGGGGAGGTAAAAAGCTACATTACACATTGATAGTGAACACCATTTGATTTTTAAGGAAATCAACAAATTAAACAGTAGTTTATTTCAAGTTGGGTACCTATGGTGTCCCCTTGCCAGGCTAATCTTTGCTTAATATTATTGCTTATGTGGGCGTAAGCAAAACGGTAACTGAAAATGGGGAGGTATATGCTCACATGCATTTGTCTTCGATATAGTTTAGCAATTTTTTTAGTACTTCCTATGTGCTAGGCACTGGGGATGCATAGTATAGTGACCCACAGACAGGCCCCATGCTTTTTGGAGCTCAYGCTGTCTCATCATCAGTCAGGCATCGCGAATGGGCTCGTTCTTTGGTATGAGATGTTAAGAAAAATAAAACAGGAACATTCAGGTGTGTGGTCAGAAAGCCTTCACCTGAAGGTGAGCTCTGAGCAGAGACTTGAAGGAGTCAGGAGACATCCCCATCTTGGGCCCACAGAACACCTGGTGTGGTTTCTAGGTGAGAGTGCTAGCCATATTCCAGAACAGGGAAGCCACAGTGGCTGGGCTTGGAGACCTGGTGTTCTTCTCAGCCAGGAGTCCTCTTGTGTGTGAGACACAATACATCACTTGAGTGACTGTTTACTTGGCTCCACGGATACCTAAGTAGTGCCATTCTAGATGCATGGGAAGTTTATTCCTTACGTGTATCAGATGCTTTAGAGCAGGCTCTGTAAACTCTGTAAAGTGCCACGGTGAATACTTCAGCTTCATGGGCCCTGCCAGTGTTGTAGCCCCAGATAGCACACAGATGAAGCTTGGCTGTGTAGTAGAACTGTTCATAGATACCAGTGTTGGAACCCTACATGTAAATTTTCACATATCACAAAATTTTCTGGTTTTGCATTTTTTTCCATCTGTTCAAGTTTGTAAAAATCATTCTTAGCCTATGAGCCCTCATCCTTAGTCCCTGTGTTGAGGGGGAGATCATGGGTGGCTCTGTGAGGAGATGGTCTCTATGGATGAGACAAGCATTGAGGACTTTCTAGCAGACGTGGGAGGGACAAGACTAATTCCAGCTGTAGTGCTGAGATAGCCTGGAGGAGGAGCTGAACTGGGAGGAGGACACCCCTGTGGGTGGCCAGAGACTGTGCTGGCATTAGAGTTTCCAGAACTTGTCCTAGAGGCAGCACCTGGGATTCTGTGCTTTAGTGATAACTTTTCTGTGCTGCATTTTCTGGTTTACTTATTTATATTTTGGTGTTGATGGGGTAACCCAAAGCCTCACAATGTTAGGCAAGTGCTCTACCACTGAGCAATACCTCCAGCCCGTACACTTTTTAATAACATTATCAACTTTTGAAATCTAGAGGGCAAGTTACTAGCATTTCGATTTCTTTTCTGTTGATATTGTAGACAGTATGACTTTACTTCTAGTCTCTTAGTTTTTATTAATTATAGTCTTTACATGACTCCTTTAAATAGAGCTATCAGGGGAAAACATAAGTGTGGATGGGTGTGTTTTAAGTCATTAAATATTCTAAGTTTTTGTATTGTGGGAAAATTAATCTGTTATTTTACAGTTAATGAAAATTATGAGTAAAGGGGTGGTCCCAGTCTTTTTATTGTGTCTTTAGATGCTGAGATACTGGGCATCTGTTATCATTTGTAGAGTTTGAAAATAACAACAGTTGTCCTAGTTTGGTGAGAGGGTTTGCTATTAAAGTATTGCCAGGTCGGTGGTAACAAGGGACATGATAAAACACCCTGAGAAAGCTTTTCAGAAATTAAATAATGCTGATGGCAATACTTGTCTTAAAAATCAAACCAAAATTTGGAGTGTGGAAGGGAAGAGCTTCACAGCATAGACTACCACATGGAGGCTATCCATGGTGAACTCCTCTCTTCTTTCCTTCCTTGCCTTACAGAAAAGCTTTTTAACTACTATGCACAACCACGTGTGTGGAAGAACGCGAGTCTTATAAAAGAGAGGCTGAAGGTTTGGTGCTCAGGGTGGTGAGCCGGCCCATGGACCAAGGGGGCATCTGTGTGTTTCACCACACTTTGGAAGATTCCAATTCAACATGTTTAATAGAAGCCAGAGTAAAGTGTGTCCTCTAGCTTCGTCTCTTCTGAGATTTCTGTTTCCTCCCTTCATTTTCTATTAGCTCCTCCTTAAATCAGTTACTAATGTCAGGGCTCACACAATACCTCACAATATGGTACTTTGTCTTGATGGGTAGTTTTGAAAAAAGTCTCTCTGATCATCTCTTGCCTTCCTGTGTCTTGCTTCCTGAAGTGAAGCAAGTCATGGAAACCAGAATTTCTGTAAGACAGGTTATTGAAAAGAGAATTCTTTTCACCAAAGAAGCCTTCAGACCTAGAGTCTCTCTCTCTTCTCACCTGAAGACATTCCTTCCAGTGAGTCCTGTCCCAGACCTGGGAGGAAAGAGTGCTGCATCAGAGACCAGGGAGGGCCTGAACAGATGGCATGACTGCGTTCCCTGTCTCTTACCGTTAGATAGTAGCCCTTTGTTCAGTCATTCTTCTGCACAGCGGTCACTCTTCATCTAACCGAAGCATAAAACTAGACAGTTTCCCCTTTGGGTCTTCCTTTTAAAGGCTCCATTGTCACATAAAACTTTAAATCAATCTGTTGTGCTTTTCTCTTTTTCACCTGTGTCATAGAAGTGCAGGCTGCAGTCTTTAGGATAAGTGAGGAAAGGAGTCACACCTTCCTGCCTCACTGTCTTTCCTGTGCTTTCTCATATTCACCTCATAGATGGTCTTTTTGCCTTCAGTCCTGTGGTTGTCCAGCATTTTTTAACCCTGCCAGCTGCTTTTCTAACTTGTAGGAATAGTCTGTTGTCTTAAATATCTCTGTCTGCAGGCCCTGTCTCAGTGCTTGGCTGGCAGCCACTGCTTCCTGTACCTAAAGTACCATAGTCACATCTTTTAATCCTGCAGCCCTGACTTAAATGTCTCTCCTGCCCTACTTATTGGACTCTCTTCCCATAAACATCAGCTGTCTGGTTTTCTTATGTGTCTCTTCTGTGCTTTGTAGCATTTTTATTTTCTGTGCTTTGGTAGTATAATGCTTGTTTATTAGCATATCTTTCATATTTTTGTTATACTGTGTTTCCTCTAAGTTGTGACTTTATACACGATCTGTTTGGAGATGAGAGCTGCTGCCTTTTGTCATTTTCCCTGTGCAGTTAAGGAATTTATTCCTTGTCCTGGCTCCTGGGTGGTAACCTGTAATCACCTTGGGATTTTCTGTGCGTGGTAGTGTCTGTTACTACTCATAGTGGCCCCACATTTTATGCTGAGCTCAGAGTCATGTGCTCTGTGAACCACATGTGTCAGGGGTGGGCCTGGGGGTTCAGTCTGTCATCCCTACATAATTAAACCCCAATAACAATTCTGAGCACCATGCTCTGGCAAGCTTCCTAGGTTGGCCGTACTAGTACTCTTTTAAAGTACTGGCACTTATCATGGGCAGGCGGGTAAGGGTTTCTGAAGAGATGGAAGCTTCCTGTTTAGAACCATTCTAGAATAGCCCTAGTATTTCTTCCTCTGACTGGTTCTAATCTGTATTCTCTTACAATGAAGCTGTAATCATTGTAGCACTTCCTGAGTTTCATGATCTTCCTAGAGAATCATTACACCTAAGGGGGCCCCAGACTTTGTAGCCAGCTAGCCTGGAGTGAGGATGACCCAGGAGTCCCTAACCTGGCTGCTGATGTCAGTTGAGTGGCTGGGAGTGTTGCGCCCTAAACCTCAAGCTAGTTAACTTCTGATGGCACAGTCCTTTTAGCACAGGGCTTTGCAGCAATTGCTGAGTAAAAGTTTGTGTTCACTCACTGTTTATGTCTTAATACAGTTGTTTATTTGCATATTTTATGAAAAATTTTTATGTTATCTATATTTGAAAATACATTCTTTCAATTTTGTTGTATTTTGTTTTAAATTAAGCTGATTACAACCTACTTCATTGATTTCTTAACCTATTTCAGGTCATAGTTGCAACCTGTAAAACTAATATTGGTTATAATTGCTTTCTGTTGTTTTCGTATCTGGGCAGTTAGTGTCAGATCACTGAACCTGGTGATCAGCATTCTCTGCCAGGGTTCCTCTGCACTGCAGTTTTGTTTTTTGTTCTTCTGTAGAGAAGATGCAGATACCTCCCACCTGGCATATGAGTCTTTGCATCGCAACTAACACACTCTTTATGTCCTCTCCCTTCTTTTTAAGGTAACATTTGTCGGTCACCTATCGCAGAAGCAGTTTTCAGAAAACTTGTAACTGATCAAAACGATTTAGACAACGTAAGTACTGTTCAGTACATTAAAGAGGCCAACCTGAACACCTCTGGGCAAGAAAGTGCCAAAAACATTCTCTTTCTTCTCATGCAGTGGAGGATAGACAGTGCAGCCACATCTACCTATGAAGTGGGGAACCCCCCTGACTACCGTGGGCAGAGTTGCATGAGGAAGCATGGCATCCCCATGAACCACGTTGCCCGGCAGGTACCGTACTAGAACTTGATTGTGTTCTGTGTTACAGTGGACCATTGACAGCGGTGCTGTTTCCGACTGGAACGTGGGCCGGGCCCCGGACCCGAGAGCCGTGAACTGCCTAAGAAATCATGGCATTAGCACAGCCCATAAGGCAAGACAGGTAGAAGAGATCTTGTTTAATTTCTGCACAGAGGTGGAGAGGCCTGTGTGTTCACAGCTGTGTGTATTTGGGGTGAACCAACCTGCTACGTGTGGAGTTCTGAAAGACTTGCATGACCTTGGGATTGCTTACTAAAATGCACATAAAATTACGTCAATCACTGAGAGCAGTGGCTGCTAGATGGCTGCCAGCTAGAGCTGTGGTCTCCGTTCTCTTACCACTTCTTGAGTTTTAGTTAGACATTTAAGGCCTTTGTGACTGTTTGCTTACATTACCAAGTTTGTTGCTAGAACACAGTCACGTAGTATATACAAAAGCATATTTTAACTATAAGTACCTTAAACAAATAAAAGGTAATACTGATATTATTATGTGTCCCTAATTAAGGATGTCATGCCAGACTTAAGTTTGAAGTCTACTGAGATTTAACAAACTTCATATGAAGGTAGCTTTGTATTTATATTATAAATCAGAAAATACAGTTGTGTTTCTGAGAGTTCTTTATTTAAGCTTGTTATTTTCACTGGGCAGAAGATGAAACATTTTATATCATGTGATGATTGTGATCTTTCCAGGCTTTTGCATACCTTGCCAGGTTCTACTTGTATTTTTTAAGGTTATATATTTATTTTAATAGTCCTTCAGCATTACGAGCTGTCTGTTTTCAGGTCAGATGTCTTTTCATGCACTAGGTATATAACAAAAGTGGATGTGGATGGGTTATTTCAAATACACATGCCCTAAAAAGCAAAGCTGAAAACTTAAGGAGCAGTTTTGATTACCAGCTTTGGAACTAGCATTTCTGGAGTCTAATTCTGCTTTTCTTCCTGTTACTCTCAGGGATGTTTTGTGGCTGGCTGTGGTGAGGCATGCCTGTAAGCAGTGTCACACCAGGTCTTTTGTGTTCACATGTTCCTTACCAGTTGTCACAGTTTGTGTAGTGACTGTTCCAGTACGCTTCTTATTTCCCTTGTACTTTCAACCTAGGTGTAATAGATGATACATTTTTACAGTTCTCACTTCTTTTCAACTCAATCAGACTCTGGAGAAGTATGTTCTCAGTCCATTTGGTTGCATGGAGATTTGTCTTTGTTATACAAGCTTTCCTCTTTTCCGTAAACTTGTCATTGACAAATGCACAGAGTGAGTGTAGCCCTAAAGCCCTTTGGAAACCAGTGCCCATTCCTGCAAAGGTCACTCCCAAAATATTGCCTGCCTTTCAGCCTTGTAGAAGTAGGGTCTTGGGCCTCTGCATTCTTGTGCCAGCTGTTTCTGTTGTGCTGCTGCTGGTCCCAAAAGCTCTTCCTTGTCCTTGCTGGATGCTGTGTGTTCCACAGCTTGTTTGCCCCTGTGCCCTGCTGGGTGTGGGCTATTGCTAGTTTGGGCTGCACAGGTGGTGGAGGGTGGTGAGCATACTGAGGTGTTCCCACTTCTGTTCTTTGAAAAAGTTTGAAGAAGATTGATGTGATTTCTGCTTAAAACTACTTTGTTTTTTCTCTGGCTAAGTTTTCCTTTGGTATTTAGATTCAGCAGTTTTGTTGTGGGAGGCCAAAGTGTTCTTCCTTACCTGTGGAAAATTCCGGGATGTTATCGTTTTATATTTTACTTCTCCTGTTTCTCTTTTCTTCTGAGAGTCAGTTTATATTGAACATAAATTTCTTATGATCTTTTCTCCATTTTCCATCCTTTTTACTTTTCTTTATTCTGAGATTTCCTACTGACCTGTTTTCTGATATACTAACGCTTCTGTATTTAAAGTCTGTGGAATTGTTCATTCTGAGTTCTTAGTGACTTTTGTTTTATTGACAGTATGCATTTACTTGTTTGTTTGTTTTTTTTAAATAGATTAATTCTCTGAAATCCTTTTCCAAATGCACATTTGTTTATTTTGTTTGTTTTTTGATGTGAGGTATTGGGGCTTGAACCTGGGTCTTTGTACATGTGAGGTAAATGTTCTGCCACTGAGCTACATCTCCCAGCCCATCTGAGTTACTTCAAACAGTTTGAATTAAAGCCTAGATCATTTGTGACCCTACTGTCTTTGTTTTTTCTGTTTGTATGCTTGCTAACTTCCCGTTAAATTCTGAACGTGGTATGTGGGGCATGGTGGAACCTGTGGGTAATTGTGTTTTGCCCCATATGGTTGGCTGTTGCAGGGAAGAAGGTAGGTGGTCACCTCAGTATGATCGGGTGGAGCTGACTTGAGGCTGGCAACAGCTGTTATTCAGGAGGCTTAATCCACCTTTGAGCTTCCCAGTCTTTCTTCTGGAGCATCAGGCACAGAGTTGGCAGAATGCCTCCAACGTGGCAGCTTCTACAGTAGAGTGCTCATCTCTTACTGAGTCTGTGCAGCCTCCAGGTGCCCTCTGGAGCTTCTTGCCCTGGGTTGGTGGAAGACTTGGCAAATTCTTAGAAAAAAAGCATGTGCCAGGCCCCCGTCTTCCAGGACCTGTGTTCCTCCAGGGATGGCTGTCCCACCACCCCTAATTTCAGTTTTCTTCTCAGCCTCTGAACTTGTGACAGCTCAGCGGTGCCCTGCTTTCCTTGGTCTCTTACCTCTTAAGCAGACTCTTGCAACCCAGTTCTTAATGGAGAGCTGTCTAGTGCCTTGAAGAACATCTGCCAGCACCCTGCCTGGCATCAGCTCTCCATGTCATGACAATGAGAACATCTGGCATTGCTCACTGTCCCCTCTTATGAGAACCCCAGTCCCCTGGCTAAAATACAGTTTTTTAAGTGTGGTCCAGTGGCCATCAGTCTCCTTTGAAGATGTGTTAAAAGGTTCATACTGAGCAGTGGGCCTGAATAGACAGGTGTGAAATGATTGTTGACTGGACCTCCAATTCTGCATTGTAGCTGACCACTGAGAAGCTGTCTATCACATTTCAGTTTTGTGTAATGATCTGCAGGGTTGCTGAAACACTCCTTTAAACTGCATGTTTGGGTGGGGCTGAATTTACTTCATGTAGTGCAACTCCAGCAGCATTTTGCAACAGAATACAATACAGATAGACATAGGAAGATCCATCCTAACCAGTGGCACTCTTCTAACCAAGAGCTGGTTTGGAGAGTATAGTTGTTCTTCATTAAAAATAAAAAAGTTTTAAATTGTAACAATTTATTTAAACATTATTAGTAATGGTGACAAATATTGGTAGATATAACCCCTGTAAACAAGTTGCTTTAAGGCAAGGCTGAATAGTTTCTGAGAGTTCCTAGGCTCTTCTGCTGACCATGAGCTACGATCAGTGTTGGTGCATCAGCAAGTGAGACTCTGTTGTCTTGTGTGAGCAGCCTGTGAGACCAGCCAGCTTGTTGAGTGCCATCTGGTGGCATTGCTGCCACAGCTGCAGAGTTGAGCACATTCAGGAGTTCTTGGGGCCACAAAACCAAGTGGTTGCAGGAGCACTCATGACTTCAAGAGCCGTCTGGGTGGGTGAGGGTCTTCTAGTTGTTTTTGGTAGTAGAGTTAATTTGACCCAAGCCATACATGTCTGTCTGCAAACAGAAATCCTCTTCTAGACATTTCCTGTGAAGCATTAAGTTATAGCTGTTGCTGTTCTTTCTCAGTTATTTTAACATCTAAAAATCATGTGTGACTTCCCTTAGCAAGTTGCTAAGCATTTCTTTTTTTAGGGCAAATTAATTACAATCCAAATTGTTCATCCAAAATTAACAATTTTTAAACAGTAAATCTTTGGACATTTCTCACATGTGATTTGAAAAAATAACGTAGTGTGCTTATATAATTTTTGTTCTAATATCTTAAAGTAGATAAATTACTTTTTTAATAGGTTAATTAGTTAGTGTCTTGGGAGTATTAATACAATCCACTCCTTTGTAATTATTGATTTGCTACACTAAAAATTGATGGAAGTGCATATGAAGTCATTTTTAACAGAATAATGAAGAATAAGCATATTTATTGTTCTTTTACCGTATTCATTGTCTATGATATTATTACTGTTCCTTCAACCAGGTTTTCATTGTCTCCTATATTAAATGACATTTTAGAGGATTTTTTTTCAACAAGGAAGATTATTATTGAAGTTATATTCTAGGGTTTATTTTCACTTTTATTCTGCAGCATGTTAATGATCTTTTGTTGTTTTATTTTCTTAATAATCACAATTTATAAAATAAGTTTTCACTTGCATCGTAAGTGGTTTACATTTGTAATTGATGATGTTGGGTTAGACTCAGGAGTTCGATAATCTCCTTGTGTCATATTTAAGTTGAGGGTGTTTGGTCAGGGTAAAGTCCACAATTCAGTTGCTTCTGGTGAACCTCCTCTGACCTCCCTGCTGGAAATTTATCCTCCTCCCTCTCCCAGAACCCCGTCCTTGGTGTTTCCTGAGGTATCTGTGCCTCCTGCCTGATTGGGTGGTTTCACGAGGACAAGGCCTGTGGCTTCAGCTGGGTCTGTAACAGGGCCTGGGACACTCAGTGCCCATGAATGAGAAACAGTGGTGGAGGGTTGTGTGCCCACAGACTGCCTCTGGTTTCTAGGGGACGAAGCTGACTGTTAGTGATCACCACAAGGAGTCTTAGGAGATAACATTTTCTTGTAAGCGCTAATACAACTTGGGAAGTAGATTAACTGTATTTTAACTTAAAAGTGTCCTGAATTGTTTAATTACATTGTTAATTAGCAAGTTTAAGAAACATACAGTTTGGTTCTGTTTTATTTTTTCTTCTCTATTTTTGAGAGGTATAAATATAAATAACTGTATTTTGACTTCTTGCTCAATTTTAGGTGACCAAAGAAGATTTGGCCACATTTGACTATATATTGTGTATGGATGAAAGCAACCTGAGGTAATCATTTTTTTTTTTTTTTTTTTTTGAGGGGAGATACCAGGGATTGAATCTATTTTCAAAGTGTAATCTTATCCCATTCTCAGTGTGGTAATAGGCCAAGTTGTTTGCTGTCCAAAGTGACTTTTATTATGTTACAGTTTCTCATACACAGTGCTGTTACAATGTGCATAATTATTTACTTAAATAACATTAATGGAAATTCAGAGAATAATCTGGTATTTCTCCTGGGTCTCTTTACAAAGAGAAACATAGACAGGAAAATCCGTTTGGCATGATAGAGCTGGACAGTAGGGCTGGGGTCTGTGATTGTAGGAGATGTGTTGATTCCTATGATTGATATCCTTACTGCAGCAATTAATGAGCTAGGAGTGTTTGTTCCTCCAGTAACACTGCCCCCACTCAAAGTGAGACTGGAAAGGCAGAAGACCTTTTACTGGATTTAAGATTGAGCTAAAACTAATGGGCTGAGGTATTACATAGCAGCGACTATAAAACCTCAAGCTTACATGCCTGAAGGCCCCAGCACTTCTGCAGGAAGTTTCTGTTATTGTCAGAGAGGAAACTGAGGAATGGCTAGCTTTAGTTCAGGTGCACAGCAAAGGTGGTGGATGTGGGAGGCCTAGGCTGTAGCCTCCACCACTACAGCTTCCTCGCACATCATCATGCCCTCATCTTGTCCACCCCCAACCCCCTGGTGTTTATTATTGCTGCTGTCAGTGTAACCATAAGCATTTATTGACTTGCATCACTACTTATTTAAAAATATTCCATGTTTTTGATGAAGAGATATTATCTGTGCTTTTAATTACTTATAGGAATGAACCAGTAACCATGGTAACAATTTTGCTTATGTTTTTGCATTAATTAGGCCCTTCATTAAAATTCAGGGTTTTTTTTTCATTTTTATTGTTCAGTTGTTAATTTGTTTTGTCCTTTTCTAAAAAAATACCACAGCTTATAGGTATTATAGAAGGTATCCTATCAGGAGACTAGATACTCTTGATTGTTGCTGAGTGTACAGTGTTCCCTGTGGGATGTCAGTCGGGTTAGTTCTGGGTGAAGCTCCCCTGGTGCTCTGGCCTTTGTGTCCCAGCCTAATTTCACTTCTTCTTGGATCTTCTGTTGCCCTGCAGCCTGGACCAGATTGTCCACTGACTGTGAGGCCCTGCAGGTCCAGGGACTGTGCCTGGTTCAGCTCTGAGACTTCGGACAGGAATGTTCTTGTCTGTCCTGCTCCTAGACTCATCATAGGGGCTCAGTTGGAATTTGTCAGCTATGTGGAAGAATGATAAAAATGTAGCAGTGTGAAAGTTAGAAGTGAAGACACCAGGAGAGTGGTGTGGGCATAAGTAGTGAGGCAAGAGCCATGGATATGCATGTTTGGCCACCATGGGAAGTAACTGTGGCTCTTGGAGTTCCCTCATGTCACCTTGTTTCTCTCTGAAATATCTTTCTGACTTGATGGTTTCAGTGTATTTCACAAGAGAACATGGAGCTGCTGTCTGATGGTGAGGTGTACTTCCTGTGTGTAGGAAGTAGTGGGACGTGCTGTTGCTGCTCACTCCCTGCCCAGGAGACAGAGCTGTGGCACACAGTTGCACAGAGGGCCTGTGCCTCAGTGCAGGATTTGGTTTCACTGAAAATCAGGTCACTTTTGCTGGATTTTGATATGGGTATTTCATAAACCCCTAGCAGATGTCCCTGTTTAACTTGAAACCATAGATCAGAAAACTAAGTTCATGTTTCGATTTTGCAGAGATTTGAATAGAAAAAGTAATCAAGTTAAAAACTGCAAAGCTAAAATTGAACTGCTTGGAAGCTATGATCCACAGAAACAACTCATTATTGAAGATCCCTATTACGTAAGTACAGTGCACATGGTAGGGCCAATGTAAAGATCTGCAAGTCCAGGCCTTCGGTGTTAAGTGACAGGCTGAGGTCCCTCAAGGACACTTTGGGTGCTGGTATTGCCAGCTGTCCTTCCTGTCTTCCAGGGGAACGATGCTGACTTTGAAGTGGTGTACCAGCAGTGTCTCAGGTGCTGCAAAGCCTTCCTGGAGAAGGCCCACTAGGACCACCTGCCCGCTACCAGCTGGGGACTCTCCCTATCCACGTTCTGCATCCTCATCCTGTGCTCCGGTGTACTGCCACTCCTTTGACCCAGGCCCTGCCTGCCCCTTCAGCTGACTGTTGTCTCTGACCTGACCTGACCTGACAGATCATTGTAGGTGGAAACCAGCTGTGTCTACAGAAGAATCAATAAAAATGTTGGACTCAAAGACAGTTTGTAGGGTGCAGTGAGAGTTCTTAGACTAGTGGAGCCTTCTCTTTGCCCTGATTATGCTAGTGGAGTGAGCAGAGAGAAAAACAGCCCCAACCACTAAGTACGCACACCTGAAGGCCCAGGTTAGTCTCTGTGCCCAGTAAGGTTGGATGGCCTGGTCTCCCTGCAGTGATTGTGTGTGGCTGGCCAGTGCCTACAGGGCACCTGTGCTCATCTGTGTATTCAGAGTCACAGTGACCTTGTCCATAGCGGCTCTCCATGGCTGCAGCAAGTGTTTTAGCTCACACACACACAGTGCACATGATAGGAGACAGACCGATGGGATTGATCTTTAGCACCTTTAGTATTTGTTGGTTTTTGTCTGATTTATTTCACAAAGTCAGCTTATTTGCTCTCATTTGAGCCACTTTGTATCCAAAAATTTAATTATATCTGGAAAGGACACTTGTATGCTATGTATCCTATGGTTGGTCGAGGGGTATGTTTGTTTTATATGCACAGGTGACTCAAATGTAAATTGGCTTAGGTATGAAAAAACAATTTAAGCAGTCAGTTATGTTGGTGTCCTTAAGTATTGATATGTTAATAAATGTTTCATGAGTATTTAAAAGCTATAGGCAAATACAGGTAATTTCACTATAATCTCAAATTCACATGGATATATGTCAGAAAAGATTGTTTTCAAAATAAACTTGGGTGTTATAAAAATGCAACAGATAAATCTGATGTCTCGCCTGCTTTTTTATTTACCAATGAGGAACGATTGAGAAACCGTCTGTCTTGTCACTTTCAGATGGTCTGTGGTGTGTATGTGCTTATTTACCCTGGGTACTAGGAAGTAAAATGATGAAAATAATAAGCTGTCCCACTTACACTGGCATCTAGGTATGGGAGACTTCGGGGCCCTGGGACGGAGGCACTCTCAACTCTCCTTGTGGAGGTGGTGCCTGGGCTGGCCTGCCACTCAGCGGGTGAGTGGCAGTTTGCTTTATCCTATCCTGGTCCTGCATTCAAAGCTGGTGACCTCTAACCTGTAGAGGACTTTTAGTCAAAAAAATCAGTCCTTGTTGAAAGGCTGAGTGGAACACCAACCTAAGAACAGGGAGAGTTGGGGGACGGACACCCTGAGTGAGGGTCCTGGTGGAATTACTGTGTCATACAGAAAACTCCAGAGGTTAGGTTAGGGATATGATAATGGTGTCCCCAAGCTAAAGAACTGGAAAGAAAAGGTCAGATGATCAGCCACAGTAGGGAAGCAGGATTAAGTAAGAAGTCAGGGCTGTTCCCTGTCATTAATTGCTTTGTAATCCCATTGTCAGGAGTATTTCTTAATCCTTTCCATCCCTGTAAATTAAAAAAATGCTGTAGTTCTCTCTGATATGCATCTTAAAGGCAGAACTGTAGAATGATGCTGTGTCCCTGCAGCTGCCCTAGGTGTCATCTGCTCACACTGTGGCCAGGGACTCTCTGCTTTGTGAGTTTAACTTTTTAATTAGATCCCAGGTCTTTTCAAGATATATCCAACCCTAACTGTTCACAAGTCTTAAAGTTCCTTTACCTGGGAAACAGTGGATACAACGTATTTGGAGTACTTAACTAGCAAAGAGACCAAGCTACCTCAGGAGATTATGTCATTGATGCATAGTAACCTCTGCTATTAGAAAATGCTAATTGCCCTTTATAGGGATCCTTAGCTGTTGAGTTCCATTCACTTATGCCTTTTAAGTTTTATGGACTTCTGCCAGTGTATGGATCTCTTGACAGGTGTGTAAGCCACAAATGCTCAGTGATGAACCCAAGAGAAGTAAAGGACCACTCCAAAAACTGTTCATTATAACAACATTTGTTCATTTATTATTTATTTACAGTATTTACATATTGCACAATAGCAGGAGGGCTGTTTTTCATTTACCATATAAGAACAAATGGAACTGGCCTGGATATATTCACAAATTTATACTCCACTGTCTTCAAAACATGACTGAAGTTTTTATTTACCTCTTTTTTTTTTTTTTAATTTTTCATGCAGGTCCAAATAATATTCTGGGAGTTTAATTGTAAAAGTAATACAAAATATCGAATCATACTATATGCTCTATGAAAATATAGTTTAAGATTCTGCCTATGTTTCTAAAGTAATTTTTTTGTGATTTCATCTAATCTGGAAAATGAAATAGTCTCTCATAACACTGCACATCAAATGTGAAGTGTTCTCTTATTTTTTAAGATATAGTGGCAAGGATCTCCTTCAGGTACACTGATTTACATATCTGCAAACAGTGTCAACAGCTTACAAAATGCAAAGGAATTTTGGAAGAGTCTGTAAAAATAAACCTCTGTCCACATGGAGTGGGTGTGGAGAGCTGTCTGGCTGGTCTCCAAGGCACTGCTCAGGGTCCTGCTGTGTGGCTCCTTCCAGCTGAAAACAAATGCATCTGGTGTCATATGGCTGCACACACTTTGTTATCAGTGCTAGAGGACCTGTTGCTTTAGCTGTTTAAGAGCACACTTAGAAACATGGAGTCTCTATGTGTGTGCATATAGCTGTGCATTCCAAAAAGCAGTCTCATTTATTCTGGAAAATAACTCAGTTTTGCAGTTACCATATGCCCACTGCACCAAAGGATGAAAACCATCCACTCATGGGAACTCTGATTAGCATTAGCACAGGAATGTTGAGCTGCCTGGCCCTTTGTGTGTGGTCACAGCCTCAGGCTCATTCCATGGGGTCTGCAGCTGGTGGCTACTCTGCGAGATGGCTGGCCAGCTTTCTACCTCTGTTCACAGGTGAGCAAAAGGAGTGCTGTGGTTTCTGGTACTCCTAGAATAATGATTACCCTTCATTCTTTTTTTAACATTTATTTTTTAGTTGTAGTTGGACACAATACCTTTATTTTATTTTATGCATTTTTATGTGGTGCGGAGGATGGAACCCAGGGCCTCCCATGTGCTAGGTGAGTGCTCTAACGCTGAGCCACAACCTCAGCCCCTACCCGTCATTTTTAAAAGTGGGGGACACCTGCAAGTTTAAGAGGCTGTAGCCTGTAGGATAAAGCAGATATTTACATATACTGCTCAGAACTACACTTTTTTGAACATATCCCTGAACTCCAGTATTTCATCCAACTACCTGTAAAGGAATGTTTGATGTAGGGAATGTAGTTTCTCTTTGGTCTCAGGTCAGTGAGCTCCAGAGAAGGGGCCCAAAGTTTGACCCTTGCTCCTGGCCGATATAGAGACCTGCCCYTCTGGACTCTGGGCAGGTGCTGAGAGTGGGATCTTACCCTGCAGCCTGTGTGTGGGATGGAGAAGAGGCCACTGGGCACAGCAGAGGGACATGGCATGGCCACTTGGCAGAACATTTGCTTAGGGTTCCCAGTGTATCATCCCCACCATGGGTGTCATGGGACATGTGCTCTGCCTCTGAGGGTCTCACTGATGTTCCAAGCCAAGCTGTGAAGCACAGAGAAACTGACCTATGTCTACACTGGTGACCCAGCCAGTTAGGAGTTAGCTATTGCAATTTAAGACTTTTGGAAGAATTTAATCTTTAAAACATAAAAGTCATGACAACATCACAGTAGAAATCCCACTGTTTTAAATTTACCCATTTTCTGGCCAAAATGAACCTGGCTACATTTGTGACAACTGTGACTGCAGCAAACAGGTGGCCCTGGGCCTGGAAGCATGCAAGCACATGCCTTCATCCTACAATTGGCAGTGCACATGGGGAAGTGACCAAGGGACAGCAGGCCATGCCAGGGCCTTGTGGCTCAGCACACAGGATGCCTTCCCCTGGCTACTTTCCTAATCTTATCCCTCTGCAGGCCAGAGCTGAGCCACACAAGCCCAGTGTCCCTGATGGTCTGCCAAATGTCCACCTGTGGTCTGCCAAGCAGATAGCAACATGTAGCTGGAGCTCTGTAGATGGGCAAGGGCACCTTTGCCCTCCCCACTTATAAGTGAATGGCAACTTCCAAGGGTCTGTGGCTAACATCTAAACAGTGATGGAAGGCTAAAGGCCCTGTCTTCCCCACACCTTCCCATGGGAGACTTGTAGGCTATATGTCTGTTCTTGGCTTGAAAGAAAGTAGGCTATATGTCTGTTCATGGATTGAAAGAGTATTCTGCCTGCCTGCCACAAGGCAGCTGATGGGCTTAGGATGTGGAGGGAAGTAGGAAGCTGCACTTTCTGGCTTTGACTGGCTTCAGAACACCTCTACCAAATAGCGAGCCAGGGAACCTTTGTAACCCTCTGCACCCACACACCCTGTCCTCAGTGCTGCTCTTCTTTCCAGGGGTACTTGTTCCTGATGGGGATGAGAGGATGTGAAGATGGTGAGGATAGTGCCATGAAGCCCCCCCCACCCCCCCGCCAGCACTAGCTCAGCACACAGCAGAATCCAAATCGGCCTCTGCTGCTTTTGCACACTAGGCATGTGTGAAAGCACCACACTCATACACTGCTGAGACGAGCTGGTGCACCATGCTACTTACTACCTATAGCCACCTACTGCTGGTGCAGGACTAGTGATGGTCCTGTGGCATCTGTCAGGAAAGTAAAGCTGTACCTCCTAGCCATTGCTGGCTTCCTGGACAATAGCTGATACTATTTATTACACAGCACACCTTGAGAGGCCAATGTAAAATTAAACTCTTGAAAATTCATTTACATGTCTGCCACTACAGCTTAAGAAAACCATTGATGAGAACAGTTAAAGAGGATGACTATTCTGTTGAAGCCTCTTGGTACAAAAAGATTCCCAACCTTTAGCAGATACAGCATAAAATTCACATGGACACCTAGTCACATATGGACTAGGCCCCTACTTGGGATGGTTTGACTCACGATGTCTTAACTTTACCCTGGTGTAACAAAGAGGTACAGATCATACTTCAGATTTTGATTTCTGATTTTTTCCTGGGCTGATGTGTCCTACAATTTCCTTGTGAGGCAGCAGCAGCCTCTAGCTACATCTTCCAGCCAGCACACTGTCTAGGTTACGCGTACTAAATGCGTGTTTGACTGATGATGGATTTGCTGGGACGTAGCCCATTGTAAACTGAGTAGCACTGGTATCCACTTTTCAGTGGCAGTGAGTGAATGAAAGCCTGAAAGGAAATGGGCATGGTTCTAAGTGAGTGCCCTAGTTCAGGCACACATCTACACAAAGTCAGCCACCAGCCTGCTCCTTGCTGTTTAAGTTCGGGCTGGACGACTGAGGGCTGCTTGGACCGCCAGTAGGGGGCACCTGCTCCTCATGGTAGCCTTCTGAGTGTTAAGTTCTCTCAGGAAGGCTAACTCCACCGCCAAAGGATGAGTGTTCTAACTCTGAGCTCCTCATGTCTCAAAACAGATTCTGACCCTCAGGGAGTGGCCAACACAGCTGTGGGGAGCTTACCTTATCCTTCCATGCACATTGGGCTGACGGCCAGCCGAGTGAGAAGCCTGGCACATCTTTTATAGTCTACAGCAAAAATAAACCACAGACCCTTTCAGTTATCTGAACAACACTAAAAGAAACAGTAGATTTTTCATTTTTTGGAAGTATATAAACTGAGACAGCCATTTTAAAAAATATTTTGAATTTCCTGGAAACGACACAGACTCTGTCATCTACATTCATGGCTTCTAAGTTGTTGACTTAATAATTTATGGTTCTTCAAGGATGTTAGCATCACAAGCAGATGTCAGAGCTCATGGAAATGCCTGTAGTGTTGCTTACAAGAACACAGAATCTTAGTATGCCCTTGCGTGACTAAACTTTTAGGTCATGTGTAAACTGAGCTGACCATGCTGCAAAAAGTTGTGTGTTAATGTCCTAAAGAAAGTGGGTCACATTAGCAGAACACAGACCCGGATTGGACAGCAAAAAAAAAAACCAATAAGCTAATTTTCCTTTTTTTTTTTTTTTTTTTTTTTTGAGGAGGAGGGGTGCTGGAGATTGAATTAAATGAGTTTCTGGGTGCAGACTGGTGTTCCCCATTACTCTATTCCACCAGGTGCTACCTCAGAGAATCCATGGAAAGGTTCTGTGACCACAGCCATAAGGGAATTTCCTCAGGATAAATTCTGTGGAAAGCTACAGTTGTTTATAAATTACTAACACTTCTTTCTCAGAAGCAACAAAACCCAACTGAAAAAGGGAAGTGCTCATACTGAACTAAGAATCTGAATGAATGGGTAAATTGACAATAATAGGTATGCACAGTGTGTCAGACAAGGAACTTACTCCACTCTAAATAAGAGTATACCTTCTAAATATTTAGAGTTCATACTCTTTGTGTTCCAAGCAGGGAAACTATCTACCCACTGGCAGCTGGTCACCTCAAGGATGGTCTAATTGGCAAACTGTAAATACTTCCATTTGTAATTTGTCTAGCGATCCCAGTTGGTGCCCATGCTGTTTAATCCAGATGTGTCTAATCTTGCCCCTCAGACCCTAATGCACAGAGCTCATCTAGGGATCTAGTTAAATGTGGATTCCATTCCTTAGGTCTGGGAGGGATTTTGTTCTGCATTCTAGCAGGCTCCCACGGACCACAGAGTAAGAAGGGTCTGAGACCCCTTCCACTTCCAGCATGTCAGAATTCCAGGGATATGCTTTTATGCTGCCTAAAGCAACCTAGAAGTGGTCAACTTAGCTCTCCAGGTCTTTGCAGGCTGAGAAGAGGAGAAGGCAGCCACACATCTAAGTGCACACACGTTGCCTTCCACCTTTGGGGACTCAGGGTGAACTGTGACTAGGAGTTTTGGTATTTTGCAACCAAATGGAGGTGGCCAACATTGGCATAACATGGCATCCCGGAAAAGACACTGCAGAGAGTGACACACGATACCTGAATCCTGCCTTGCTGACACCTATTGACTGAAAATGAGCAATTTAAAATTGTCTCCATCTGTAAATGAAAGGATTAGCAGTTTCTTTAGGGTCACTTCCACATGTAAAATTCATGGTCCTACTTTTATAAGATAATACTGAACTTAAAATATATGCACATTAAACAATAAAAAGCTTCTTTGGCCCCAGGATGCATGTGAGTGATTTTGAAACAAAAAGAAAGCAGGGCTGGAGTGGGAATAAAGGTGCTCCAGTCAATGTGCCATGAGCTGAGATGGAGCTGTGTGGTGCTCAAGAAATGCTCCCTGTGAAYCTAGGAACTTTACTTACAGTGAAAGATGCTAGACAAGCTACCTGGCTGGCTGAGACCCACAGGTGTGATATGAATGGCCCTAGCAAAGTTCTTGGTGTATGACACAGCTCTTAAACAATGCACATTACCACCAGGGCAGCTACGCTGCCCCACAAGGAAAACAACCTCTTGTGACCTGGCTCTGTTTGGAAGGCAGGACAGATGCCTAGTCTCTGGCAGGCTGCTGGCCTTGGTGGTCTCTGAAAGCAGTCTTCATGGTTTTTCTCCTGTCAGCCTTGAATGAAGTGGAAGTTGTCCCAATTAAAAAATAGCTTTATGAAGAGCACAAAGAGCCACTTTTGGGGAAATAAAATGTTTTGTTATGGCCAAACAGCTGGAAGCATGCCAAGGAGAAAGGAAAGAAGCCCTAGGGGACAGCCATGACTGAGAACTGGACATATGAGAGCCAATGACATTTCTCCGCTAGAGAATAAGGCAGTCCGAAGTGCAGAATTCTGAAACAACTGAAAGATTCTTGGGTGATGAGGCTATCACTAATGTAAAAAAAGGTCACAGCACTGGACAAGATCAAGAATGTGACCTGAAGGTTCCAGGCCAACTTCAAGGTAAACCCCAGGCCCTGCACGGGCAGCTGGTACTTCAAGGACTCATGCTTCACCTGTCTGATTGTCACATTTAAGCAGAACAAACATACACACCACACCAGAATTCATAAGCAAATGAGAAAGTGAATCAAAGCATTCAGCCTACTCCAAGCATGGACTAATTCCAGTGAATTATTATTCCAGAGACTACGTAAATTTTGTTCAGTGTGGCACTGCCTGATGCAGAGGTTAGCTATCTCTTCCGATCTCTGGGGATGGTGGCCCAACTCTTAGCTAGTGAAGAATTTCAGAAGGCAGGCTGCTCACTTACATGCCGGGATGGTGCAGTCTCGGGTGTTGTGGTAAAGTCTGTGGAAGTGCTTACTGCACTTAGGACTGAAATAGAGAGGACCTGGAACAGAAAGAAGAAGGCCATGAAGACACCGAGAACAGAGGAGCAGGGAGGGCAGCGGGGGGGGGGGGCTCACCTGTGAGATGCTTCAGAAACTTGTCCTTCATCCTCAGGTCTCGAGGGACAATTTCTGTAGGGGGAGAAAATGTTACACTGGCTGAAGAAACCATGTTTAATATGATCCCCAGTTAAAGTTGAGAAGCCCACGAATGTGAATTAGCCACAGCATCATGTATGGGAGCCCCCTGGATCCTCACATACAATGGAATGAAGACTACATCAGGGACATGTTTTTCTTCAAATAGTGTTACCTACTCATAAAGTTCCAGTGATATCTGTCTACTCTCTATGACTAGGATAGAAACAGGGGCCACAGAGCTGCAGGATGAAGAAGACTTCTTGTTCCTTAAATGGTTAGCTGCTAGGAACAAATCACTTTTAGACACTTCATTTTAAATCAAATCCCATGACATTTCAAAGTGCTAGAAAGAAAACTTGACCCTTCAAACAAAAGCTGAGTGATAGAACATTACATTTTTCTGGACATATATTTAGAAAAAAGGGTTAAATGCCTAAACCACCTGCCAGGAAGGTGTGAATGGAAGGGCACAATGGCCTGGCCTGTAAGATAGCCAAGACTTCCCAGGAGAAGGCTCCCAAGCCAGCTCCACACCCCTGCTCTGCACTGGCACCTGCTTCCAGCACTGTTGTCCTGCCATTCTCTGATTCCAGTCTTTGCTTTCTAACAGTCCTCTGTCACTCTCTGTCCCCTGATGTGGGTTAGGAACTTTGCTGCGATGTATGTGATGCTGCACTTCGGAAGCATGCTTGGCTCCTTGCACAGGGACAGATGCACTGGAGCCTTCTTCGTGCAAGGGGGAAACTAGTGTCAGTCTTCATTTACTCCTCACCTGAGTCAATCCATATAAACTGACCTTATCATATTTGACCTAATTGTGTCATGAAAGCATTAAAAGCTTGCATGCTTTCCTGGGAAATTCCCTGTGGGGCAGCTCTCTGAGAAGGCCAATGCATAGGGGAAAGCTCTGGACCATTTCTTCTCAGCTGAAATGCTGTGCTTAGAATACTTCCACTTCCAAAATAACAGACGCCAGTTCGGTGCACATTCCTGACCTAGGCAACAGCTCCACATCTTATAAGCAAACTAGGGGCAATTATCTGCAAGCCTCAGGCACAGAATTCCCATTTCCTTTAAAAAAAAAATACCCCTTGGTTTTTAAAAACAATCAACTTGATTTATCTTTTAAAATGTGCTTCTCATTTCCATTTCCAAGCAAATATGAATCGAGTGTGTCAGACATGGAAGCTAGACAGTTGGGAGCAGACCCCAGTTCACACTGCTCCTCTCTGTGCACACTGCCTTCCCAGAGCACTCACTCTGTCCTTCAGATCCACACAGCCAGGACCCTCTCCTCTCTCTGCCCCCTAGGGTCCACACTGGCGGGACACTTACCCACTCTCTGCTCCTCTGAGTCTGTCCCATAGTCTGAGGCCTCCCTGCGGCCCAGGGCAAAGTCCGGTTCGCTGAGGACCTGCAGCCTCTTGGACTCCCCGGAGTGGTATTTCTTCAGCTCCTGGACCAGCTCCACCAGGAGCCGCAGCAACGTCTGCCGGTCCGTGGGTCCCTGGGGCTGCAAGCGCCCCCGGCCGGGCCCTGCTGCGCCCAGCACCAGCAGCAGCCCCAGGAGCAGGGGCCGCCCGGGGGCGCGCATCGTCCCGGGTCGCAGGGCTGTGGGGCCGCGAGGACCGAGGGAGAGCGTGGGAGGTAGGGTCTGGAGATCACCGGGACCGGTGCCGGGGGCGACCGCGGTGACACCGGCGCCTCGGGGCCGCGCGCCCTCAACTTTCCCCGCACGCGGTGTCCGCCAGGGCCCGGCGTCCACACAACTTTCTTCAGCCTCCGGGCGCCTCGCCACCTCCGCAAGGAAGCCGCCGCCAGCAGCGGCAGCCCGGCCTCGGGTCCGCCGGCGTCCCACGCCACCGGGACCGCGCCCGGGAGCCCTCAGCCACGCGAGGCCCGGCCCGCACCTGCCCGCGTCGCCCGCCACCACCTGCGCCCGGCTGTGTGCCCGGCGCCCAGCGTCCGCCCGCGTCGTGGGCGTCTGTCCCGCGTCCACCCGCGTCGTCCGCYCGGCCGCGACGCTACTCCATGGCCCGCGGCGCCCGAGCGCAGGGGACGCGAACCGCCGCTCCGAGGGGATCGCGGTCGCCTGGTGCCCGCGCCGAGTCCTTCGGCTGCCGCGCTTCTTATCCCCCCGGCCGCCGACGTCAGGCGGGTCCCCAGGGCCGGAGCGCGGCTTTAATTAGGGCCGCGAGCGCTCCCCGCCGGCGCGGATCTTCGTCAGACCCCCCCGGCCCGCTCGCCCCCGCCCCCGCCCCTCCCCCGCGTCTCCCCGCCCCTTCCTCCCCAGTCTCCGCGCGCGTCCTCTCCTCGGCGCTCCCTCGCTCCCGCCTCCCTGTCCCCTCTCCCGCAGTCTAGTTCCCCGTCCCTGTCACTCGTGACAGGATGGGAAGAAACGCCTTTACCAGGAACTCGGATCTGTTTTTGTCTAAATGCAGATCTGGGGCTATTGAGAAGGAGATGCTGACTGCCTCGCTATTTAATAAGTCAATTAGCGTCTGTCCGGTTTGAAGGAATCTGCTGGCGAGGCCAGAGCCGCTTTCGGGACCCGAGCTGTCTTCACCGCCCGAGTCGGGTCCCCGGGCCGAAGAAGGCGACGCTAGGGGCGACCCTCGGGTCCCCGTGGGCCGCCCTGAACGGCAGGACCCCGCGCCCTTCCCGGGCCTCGGAGCGGGGCCCTCCGCCTGCGCCCCGAATCTGGACCCTCCGCCGCGGGTCGTTTGCTCATGGGCACTTCCTCCGGGGCTTCGTCTTTAAGAAAGTTTGATTCTTTGGATGTAGCCAAGCACTTTTGTGAGGGTTCGGTTCCATAGTTTACTTGATTTTTTTTCTTGTAAAATGTATTATCAATCAATTGCGCACTTTCCCATTTTATTGGTGCTTTCTGGGCAAGAGCTGGACGTCTTCCAAGTCGGAGATCTGATCTGATTGGGAAAGGTGTTCTAACACAGTCCCAGAAAGGGAGAGAGTGGGCGAGGATTAAAAGCCTCCACCATTAACCGGCAGCTGCACGGGCGGTGGCACCAAGATGCTGCCAAGGTGCAGGTGCGCTCGCTCGCGCAAACCCGCGCTCCACAGGAGGCTAAAGTCACTGTCCCCAGCGATCGCGGAGAATGGCTCAGTTCTGTCTATCATCAGCGTGCTCTCTTCCCTAGGTCTATTGGGGGAGAAAAAAATGTGTGTCAGGGTAGAGGTGGGAGATACTAAAGCGGGACCCTTGGGCATGTCTATATCTGCTCTCTAAAAACAAATGGTTTGACTTCCCAGGAAGGCTCTTGTTTTGTTTTAGGTTTGCAAGCAAAATTACTAACATGCTAACGTTTCTGCTGAAATACACTCAGGAAAAAGTAAAGTTTCATGTCAAATATATTAGGCATATGAAATGAGATATTTTTCCTTTCTCCCTTTCCCCTTTTCATGAATAGGGAGGAATTTAAGTTCTTTAAGTTCCTCTAGCAAGAGCGACGCCTGCCGCCCAGTGCTGTCTGGTACTGGCTGGGTGAGCGTCAGGGTAGCCTGGCGGCTTGGGGGTGTGCACACAGCTGGTGAGCAAGGTAGTGGGAGCTGATGAAGCTTCTGTCTGTCGTTGCTGCTGTTGCTCCAGCCTAAGCATGTGTTATTTTAGACTTACCTAAATAGTATTTTTAAATAGCATTTCACAGAATGAAAAACTACACTTTTATAAAGGACATCAGTGGGACCTACTTCCCACAAATACTACTAACAAGGAAGTTTCGACCAGCGTTACCCTTCTTCTTTTACACTTTTTAATGGGACCTGATGCCCACTGTGTGGATGCTGCTTCAGCCTCACTCACTAACTAGATACCTACACAGCACAGAGCCAGCACGTGGTTGGAATTTGAATCCATGAAACCTGACAGTTAAGGATTAGAAACTCCAGGTGTTCTTTCATTCACTTGTGTCAAGTTCTGTGTTAAAGTCACTCCCAGTGCCGCTCATGTTATATACACAGATTTATAGAGTTTAAATAGAAGACTATACTGGTTTACTAGTCTTTCCTAGACTTTTCAATTTGCAATGTTGCTGGGATGAACTCTGTGAAGTTCTCCAGCTTCCAGAAATATGTGTCTTGTGCTCAATGTAAGCGCAGTCTGATCTGCTGAACTCCCTGCTTTGAGGCCTGAGAAGGCAGGTATGTACCAGCTCACGGAGACAGGAAGTTATGTCATAAGTCACTTGGTCTCTCCACTTCTTTTTGTGTAAAACAGGGAGGCTGGAGTTGTCCCTAGTGTAAAACTACATGATCTTCTGATTGTTACAAAAATACGTGAAAAAATGCAGTGTTTCCTACAAAAATCTCAAGGTAATTCACTTGAAGTCATCAATATGAGCTTATCCATCTACTTTCAGGCACGAAGAGGTAATGCATTTATGTTAAATAATGTAATTCTCTCCTTTAGTAACTGAACAAATGTCTACTGTCAAGGATCCAAAAAGCTGGAAAATTAGCAACAAACTGTTTTGAAATTATTGGAAAAAATTGTTTGCTGGAATTGAGTTAGTTGTTGTGAGCACCTCAACCTTTATTCAAGATGTTTGGCTCATGAGAGGAACATCATTTGCTCAGTTTTAAGCAGTGTAAGGAAAGCTGCAGCACCCCAGCCACAGCCATTCTTGTCTTGTCAAAAGAGGTATTAATTTAATTTTAGATGAATATTAACTCTCTACAAAGACTTCTGACAAAGGTATGTATTAACAGGTTTTAAACTATTATATCACTCATTTAACAACCTAATATCTCATTTGAAAGAAAACAATCACCTTTCATAAAAGATAGTCTCATGTGCTATAATGAATATTGTTTCATGTTTAGCCTTTACCAGTCAGTAGCTATCAGTCTGCTAGGAATGACCAAAGCTTTTAGGAAGCCAAGATTGCTCATAGGACGGTCTCCCTGAGAAAGTGCAGGAGCACAGCCTCACAAGTAGCAGCTTTGCCTGTGTCCATGAGGGGCCTCCTGCCTGATTCTTTCCCTCCTATGCTAAGGACACCCAGGTCATGGGCCTCTCACATTCTTTGGTTTAACTTTTGCTTCTGCAACACCACATGATGTAGCTCAGAAGAGGCATGAGTTACACATTTTGCAGGAAGGGTTGGAATACCAGTCAGCACGATGGACTTTATTCAGATTTTTCCACCTATAGCAGAGATGAAGAGGACTTTCACATGGGAAAGGCCTGAGGACATGTGGACTTCTGTTTAAGTTAGAAGTTCCAGCTAGAAAGTCTTGAGACATTGGTGCTTTGGACTTTTGGAAGTCCCAGTCTGGCATGTTTTTGTTTGTTTGTTATTGATACCAGGGATTGAACCCAGGGGTTCTTGACCACCTCAGCTACATCTCCAGCTTTTTAATTTTTTTTTTWAAATTTGAAGACAGGGTCTCACTAAATTTTTGAGGCTGGCCTCAAACTTGCTATCCCCATGCCTCAGGCTCCAAGCCACTGGAATTACAGGTATGAGCCCCCACACCTGACCCTGGCATGTCTTGATGGCCACAGTGAGAATAAATTTGAACATGCATACCCATTCTCAATAGTTAAAAAAAAGACCCTCCCCACTTAGTAAAAGGTCTGTCAGCTGCCAAAATGGTTCATGGGAATATCTGAACAAAGTAGAGTCTTCATGTAGGCAGGTGTGACCCGCAAATACTGCATTCCTTATGTTTCTGCAGGAGATGAAATGACAGAAACTGAGGCCCAGGTATGGCTCTGCCCTTTGGCCTGGCTATCTCAATTCAGGGTCCTCCCTTTCTGGGACCTAGACATGGGCCTGATTGGAAGTGAGGAGGACTGAGTGGGGTTTGGGGAGAGGGGCAGGCATGACATCTACAGCCCCCTCTGGCTGGCTTTACTCATTGCCTGTGCTTGCCTCATTGGGTTTGCATTCCTGGCATCTCCAACTTCCTGAGGTCTAATTACACTCTCACAGCTCCACATACCACCCTCGCAGGGACTGATTGTAGGCTGACCCTGCTGTACACTCTCTGGCTCCTAGGTTTCCCTGTGAGATCTTGTGGAACTCCCATGGCCTTGGAACTCTGGCATTCTGCACATCTGCACACCAAGCATCAAGTGGATGGTGCCAAGGTCTTCAGCCAGGTGGGCTGGACCTGGGCCCACTCAGGACAGTGCAGCTGTCCTCAGTGCCTGTATGGCAGTACATGGGGAAGCCAGGTTCCTAGGCACATGTTTTTGTAGGAGCAGCATACTCTGGGCTCTCTTCTCAAAAGACTCTGTCCTGGAAATAATTCTGCATTTTTACATCTCTGCGCTGTGGTGGTGGGGTCTGGCCTCCTCTTGAGATGCACTTGAGGCATCTTTCCTCTTGTCCTGGTGCAAAGCACTTGGCCTGTTGTTCTTGGCAGTGATGACAAACCCTCCTTGGCCATACCTGTAAAACTCCTTTTCTCCCCAGACTGTGTTTTTCCCCCCAAATCTTTCTGCTCTGCTCTTCTTTCTATCATTGTAAATTTGGCTAAAAGTAGCCAGTAATACCCATGCCACAGTCCAAGTGCTGTGCTGCCCTAAAATATCCTCTGCCATACAAACTGATTCATAACCTTTAAGCC